TTTATTTTACGGGCGTTAGTTAGATATTCGAGGGCGACGTTTAGCTTTCCACTCAAAAGTTTTTTTATTCTTTTTATTTTTATTATTATTTCTTTTTTTATATCGACACATAATGTTTAATTACTCCCTCTCACTTTATCTATTTTTTTTAACACCCGCTTACAACACGAACACTCTCTCTTCAATTGTCTTAATGTGCGTAAACAGTAATCATAAAGAAATTTTGAGATCGGAGATAGTAGTTATAAGATTCCCCGGTTTATTCAAGTATGCAAATATCAATTTTTGGAAGAGTAACTAAAGAGAAGACCAAGTTATAATTAAACAATTTTTTACTGTTCTTTAATTCATTCATACGAATGAAGGAGCTTTGATCAATGATCAAGAAGCTTTCCGGAAGCTAAGCTAAGCATCAAAAATTCTATTTTTGAAAAGACCATGGAAAAGTCATGAAGAAAATTGGAAAGCACACCAAGTCATCTAGGATTAGGAGTTTATTTGTAACATTTGTTTTTTTTTTTTTTTTTTTTTTTTGACACTTTATATGGAACAAGTTTAAAACACATTTTTAGTCCATGATCATATGATATTATCGACCAACAAATTAGTTATAGTCACAAATCACAATTAATAAATTTATATCGGCTATAAATAATCATCCTATAGAAGAAAATGTTATGTACATGCTACTTTATCATATAGTAAATTAGTAAGTTGATTCTTAGAACATTGCACGGTATATCACTCGGATTTAAATTATTATGACACAATGCATACATGTCACATCTTACTGTTGAACTTAAATTATTAAAAAATCAAAAGTGAAAGCTATGGAAGCGATTTGATGTTACTTACGTAGGTTAAGTGAATAACGTGAGGAATCAATTTGGGAGAGAGGGGTGGGGAGAAGGAGGGAGGGGCAGCATGTGAACTATGAACAATGAAGTCATGAGCTATAAGCTTCGTTCCAAATTAATTGATACGTATATTTTATTACGCATGTTTGTTAGAGCTTAAATCCAATCGTAAAAAACGTAAGTAACTCTAATTATCAACAAAGAAAAATATAAAAGTTATTAATTTGAAATTACACATCGAGAGGGACTTAAGAAAATCTCATATAAATATATTTTCTATTATTAATAACGCAATACTACTACAGTTAAAGTAGAGTTAGTAAAAGTTAAAACATGTCATGTCAGCCAATTTAGAACGGAGGAAATATAAGTTATATATAAAATGTAATCATCTACAATAAAATATAACCGATTTCATTTTGCTTGAGGATCAAATTGATCAAGAGAGTGTAAAATAATGTGACTACTGACACAATACTCGCGTGTCACAGCTTTATACTAAATTGATTCAAAAACAAAAGTGAAATGAATTAATTTGATGTTACTAACTTCATAGATTGGGTGAATAATGTGGAGACAATTTGGGTAGGAGGGAAGGAGGGGTAAGGGAGGAGGAGAGAGCGGCAATGTGTGAATGTGAAACAACATAGAGTGTAACGTTACAATTATAATAGATGAAATAAGGTAATGAACTCCATTCCTAATTAGTTGACATGCTTCTTTCATCACGCGTGGTTGTCAGCTTTAAATTTGAATTGTAAATAACTCTAATTATCAATAAGTAAAATTTATAAAAGTTAATATTTTGAAATTACATATCGAGAAAACTTAACAAATTCTCAAATGAATATGTTTTCTCTTAATAATAAATAAAAAAAAGATTAAAATAGTGTGAGTGAAAATTGAGAAATTAAATGTAAAACATTTCAACCAATTTGTAACAAATTAAAGAAAATAGAAGTATAAGTTATGTATGGAATGTAATCATTCATCCAAAAGAAAAGGTAAGTGATCTCACTTTGCCTTATGATCAGGTTGATCAAGAGAGGTGTTAGATAATGTGACTGCTGACACATTGCGTGCACATCACAATAATCAAAAATCAAAAGTGAAAGGAATTAATTTGATGTTACTAACTTAATAGGTTGGATGAATATCGTGGAGTACAATGTGCAGTGGGAGGAAGGGTATGGGAGGAGAAGGGAGAGCCAACGTGTGAATTGTGAACCAACATAGAGTGTAAGAGTGTAAGGTTACAATTTCAATAAATACAATAAGGTAATGAGCTCCATTCCAAACCAGTTGACATGTTTCTGTTATCATGCACGTTTATTAACATTTTAATTCAACCATAAATAACTCTATTTATTAATATATACGTAAAAATTATAAAGCTTATATTTTAAAAATTGCACAGTAAGAGGAACTTAACAAGATCCTACATGAATATATATATATATATGTTTTTTTTTCTTTTCTTATTAATATATCACAAAAGGCTTGCTAAGACCACTATCAGCAGTGAGGAAAAAAAAAACCTCTCAATCTCTCTCTACCCACTTTCTCACTCCTCCCATACAATTTCTCTCATCAAATGTTTTTTTCACTACATCAATGAGGAGAAAAAAAAACCTCTCATCACTTTTTCCTCCACTATTTACTATACCCCACCATAATACACATCATCTTTTTATTTTATCTTTATTTTGAAATAATGTTTATACTACATATTTAATTTTCCAATACAATTAAAATATGTGAAAATAATTTATTTTTTAATTACGTTTAAAAATAATTTAATAAAAATGTATAATTTAATAACAATTTATAAGTTTTATATTTACTTTTCAATTACGTTTAAAAATAATATAATAAAAATTTATAATTTTTATATTTATTTTTCAATTACGTTTCAATTATAACTTAATAAGATTGTTATTTATTTGTCAATTACGTTTTAATTATAATTAATAATATTTTTTTATTTTTCAATTACGTTTTATTTATAATTTAACATTTGAATTAGTAGCACATTTTTGTAATGAACACATTAAATAGTCACATGGGAACTTCAATAACGGTAATACAAACACATGGGATGTTAAATAATAATAATAATAATAATAATAATAATAATAATAATAATAATAATAATAATAATAATAATAATAATAATAATAATAACAACAACAACAATAATAATACCACTACTTTTTTTTGACAATATAATAATACGAATTTTTTCAAGGATTAATAAATTTAACAGAAATAATAATAAAGAAATTAATAATAATAATATAATAATAATAATTATAAGAATACCAATAAAACTACTACTTTTTTTAAATTAACACTACTACTACTACTACTAGTAGTAATAATAATAATAATTATAATAATAATAAAAATAATAATAATAATAATAATAATAATAATACTAAATAATAACTGAGGGTTTTTTTTTTACGAATAATAATAATAATAAAAATGATGAAAATAACTCAAAGAAATTGGGAAAAGAAGGAAATTTGTAGTATTTATGGGTTTTTTGAAAGTATATCAAAATATATCAAAATGCATGTCTATTTATAGAGAAAAAAAAAATCTATCCGTTGGTGAATTTTGTTTTTTTTTTTTTTTATAATTACAACGGTTATATTTTCCTTACAAAAATATAACCGTTGTAATAAAAGCAAAAAAATCTGATTGGTTGGAAGGACAAAGCCTGACGCGTGTCGCATCCCCATTGGCTGGGTCTGACGCGCGTCAGGCCAGCTGCCCCCTTATTTTTTTTCCCTTTTTGCCCCTCAAAACGGCGTCGTTTCGCCCTTCTTTAAGGCAAAACGACGTCGTTTTGCAAGCCAGAAAGGAAAAAAAAAAGGGAAAGCAGCGTGTACATGTGGGGCCCACCGGTTACTGTTCACGAGTATTTCCCCTCAACTCTTGTGCGTTTTCCATAGCTCTCAACGGTGAGGGTTTTTTCCCTCACTAACGTAATGCTCGAGTATTTTTTTTACACCTTTATTTTTACTCGTGAGGGCTTTTTTCCTCACTGCCGGGAGTGCTCTAAAGTAGAGTTAGTTAAAAGTATTACGCCTTAAAAGTCAAAACGTGTCAATAATTCAAAATAGAAGAAATGTAAGTTATATATGTAATCCTCTAAAAGAAAAGGTAATCAATCCAAGTTAAATTAGAGTGATGTTAAATAATGTGATTACTGACACAATGCATGTATACATGTCTCTGTTTTCTGTTTAGTTTATAAACAACTAAAAGTGAAATAATTAATTTGATATTACTAACTACATAGGCTAGGTGAATTACGTGGAAGACAGAGGGAGGAGGAGGGAGCAGCGTGTAAACTGTGAACCAGCATAAAGTGTAACATTAAAGTTTTAATAAGATGCGCAATGACTCTGATGTCATATAAGAATACATAGTTCAATCCTTAACTAAGGCCATAAATATTTTTAATTACGTATATAAAAGTTATAAAAGAAATTTTACTTCGTATTATGATATACATTAAAATAAATCTAATAAGATTTCACATGTTTATATTTTTTTTTCAATGTATATTGGTAATATTTATAAATCGTCTTTATTTTTAAAGTTTGAAATTGAAAAAAGGGAAGTAAACAATCCTTAGTGGGATGAAGGAAATAACAAAAAAAAGAGTATATGTATCTAAGAGAGTGATTTTTTATTCCACTCTACATTTTTAAATAAATATTGGTATGTTAATAGACAATTTAGAGAACAATAATTTTGGAAAAAAATATCTCAAAATGGACTCTTGTGTCATTTCAATTAACGAATCACTTATTCACTAAATAGAAAATCTCATGAGATACAAACTTGCAATGAATTAGTCAAATCAAGATTTTATATATTTTATTTTGATTTCTTTATTTGTGGCAGATAATGCCAATTAATTTCTATATAATTTTAAAAAATTGAGTCCCTCTATTCTACTTTAATTGATCACATTTAAAGTTAGAGGTCATTTAAAACTATTTTGCTTAAATGACCATAATTACCTTTATGATTTGTACAATTGTTGAATACAAGTATCTGATTGTGATACTACACACATCAAATGCTTTTTTTTTTTTTTGGCCATCTTAAATTAGAAATCTAGCCTAATAGAGTGAGAATAACTGAATGAGAGAGTTAATCACTGCCAATTAAGAAAGGGAGATTTATAATTTCTTAGTCTAGGTTACCTAATGAATTTGCAACAATGTAATATTGACATATTGTTATAATGTTATGTTATTTTTTTTTAGGCTATGTTGCAACTTATTTTTAACCCTTGGTTTACCAAATTAACTAAAACCAAAAAGCCATCTAGCCCATTGTATTTAAAATTCTATCTCCTAACTTTTAACAAAAAGTCCATAATATCCTTACATGACAATTGGTTGGCCATATTTTTATTAACAAGAATGAAAAAATTGACAAGTATACTACAAATATTTTGTACTCCATACTTCGTATTTATACAATCGTATGTCATAATTTAAACCTGATTAAACTCTAATTTATTCAGATTCGAGCTGGGTGAGGCCTCAACTAGACGAAAGCTCTCCCAACAAATACGGCTACGACTATAACTTTGGCTATAACTTTGTCATATCATATCTCAAAACTACCCAAAAACATACATAAAACTATTTAAATACCCCATCTCACTATCTTTAAATACATTAAAAAAAAAAAAAAAATCATAAACACAATACATCTCTCATTCTCTCTCCTCTCTCTTTCTCTCTCCTCTTATACAAAGTTGAGAGAAGAGGAAGACTTTGGCTCCTTATTCTTCTTCGACCCACCCCTTCAAAAATATTTTGTAAACTCCCCATCTCAAACAAAAGCTTACAACTCTGAACTGTTAATGGTAAACTCTTTTACCCTTTTCTTTGTAGTTTTTGCTTTCTGGGTACTCTTTATTTTTAAGGTGTTGTTTGGTTTGGTTTATTGTTTTTTTTGCCTACAAGAAAGTTTAAGAATAATAATCAAAGTTTTTTATTCCAAAAAAATAAAAATCTAAAATACCCATTTGTTCAAATTTGGTTCTTCACGTTTTTTATGATGTTGTTAATCTTGTTTGATAATTTGGTATAGTCAATGCAAATGTTTATACTCAAATGTATATTTTTGGTTGTGAAAAGTGTTAATGTAAGTGTTATTTGTAACTTTTTCTTGGGTATTTTTTGTTTAATGATATTATATGGTTAAAAAAAACTTGGATCACGTATTATTTTTACATATTTTGTTTGAAATTCTAGGATTATTTGTTGGGTATGTGGTGTTTTTTTTGTTAATTTTGTGCTATTATTTTGCTTGTTTTTTGTGCTGCTTTTGCAAGTTAAAATTGTATGAGTTTGTTGGTGACTAATTTAATGGTGTGAACATGTTTTATTGTTATGTTTGTTTTACGTGTTTAGGTGGTTTTTGTGCAAATTTTTGGAGAAATAATGGATCTAAAAATGTTGGGTTTTTGTATATTTTGGTTGGTGATATCGAAGTGTTTAATGGGTTTTGGTTGAATTTGGTTTCTGGGTTTACATGTAGGTGTTGGTAACTTGTTATAAATGGTTTTTGCTGTCAAATTTCTGTTTGTTAGAGCAGAGAAATTCTCTGTTCGAGTGTGTTACTATAGAGAATGAATGGTTGGGAGGTGGAGGTGGAGAGAGAAAGTTTGGAACTTCTCGACTTGTTGTCGAGTTGTCGTCCGGAAATTTACCATTGTGGACTGTAAGGACGGGTTTGATTGATATTCAGATTTGATATAGCAGAAAATAGAGAAGTTGTGGTGACAATTAGGTTTTTGCTACATGATTCCCCCCCACCCCCCCTCCTCTTAAAGTTCAATGTCAAGAAATCACGAATGTGTTAAGTGTATTTTATTCTTCATTTTTGTGTTTGTTGATTTGGTAATTTTAAGAATTTTCTGAATGTGTGTCTTATGTTGGTTCTTCAGTATAGCTTTTCAAGTTCTAGGAATCTGTCCTCGCGACTTCAGACTAGTAGAAACATATCTTGATCAGATGTCAGATCAGAATGGTTCATGATGTGAATTGTTACTATATACTTCGTATATGTATATGCATTTAGGTGCTGAACCTGATCATATTATATCAGTTTTGTTATGCATAAATCATTTGAGATAAAGGAAGTGGCATGACTATTGAAGTGACATTGAGTTCGTAAAAAGCCTGCATATTAGGTGTGGATCCGATTTTCAGAGATTGATAGGTTAAAGGAGTCTCATTTGTATTTCGTTGAAACCTAAGTTTCTAACTGTCACGGTATAATAGTTATATCTCAATGCTGGTATTGTGAGTTGGATAAAAGAGTTGGAGCAATATACATTATAACCTTCATTTGGTACCCAAGCCGTGTGTAATGTACTTATAGAAGTGTCAGGATCTTCATGCACTCTGCTCTTCTATAGTTTTTGGTTGATTTGCAACCATTTGTTATAAGCAAATTGGTCTGTATACAGCTGTTTCTTACAGCAAATTTGGTCCATTTCTTGCTAGTATTGTGCTATTACTATAATTGAGCTGAAACTGACTCCTCCTTGTTCAATCTTAAGAACATGCATATTTGATTGAATGCCTGAAGACTGAAACTATGGAATCTCTGCATCTGATAAGTGAATTTGGTTAGCCTATGAATTTCTGCATCAAATTTATGAACTGAGTAAACAAAATAGACTGTACTTGTATTTTGATTTTTTTTTTCTTGGATATCGGTGTAGTACAGCATATTGAGAAAATTTGTTTCAATGATTTTGTTTCCTGATTACCACTCACACGTTGCCTCTCCTCCCCACATTTTGTTTTGCCTTTTGCGATATTCATGTGGTAACCTTCCCAACTCCTGTTGTAGATGGACCAAAGTCACCTGGATCAAGTGGGCAAAAGCTCGCCGGAAACGCTTTCGGATTCATCTCTTTCTCCAGATTCACCTGATTCAAATGACATATTTGGAGAACCATTGGTGCATCCACGAGTTGGTGATGAGTACCAGGTGGAAATCCCATCTTTACAAAGCAAGTCTGAACTTCGTCAGCTGATGAAAAATCCAGCTGAATCAAAAGGCATTACTGACTCTTCACATTCTTTTCTAATGGGACTCCCTTTACCAGTGATGTGGATCTCTAATCAGGCTTATATAATCAAGCATAGGATGGAATGCCCTAATGATCCTCATGCAATTTACACAAATGGATTTTTGGAGTCTAAAAAGATTGTGGGAATTAGCCAGATTTCTTCAGTAAAAAAAGAGCCAAATGTCAAAGGTGAGGTTCCGAAACAAACATACTGGCTTGTCCCTGGTCAATCAAGTGCTTTGTGGAGTGAGTTTGAAGCTGATAGCTTCCTTCTTGGGTTGTATTTTTTTGGAAAGAATCTTCTCCAAGTGACGAGGTTCATGGAGAGCAAGGGTATGGGACAAATTTTGGCGTACTATTATGGAAGGTTTTATGGGTCTGGAGGATATCGTAGATGGTCAGAGTGTCGAAAGATGAGAAACAAGAAGTGTGTACTTGGACATAGATTTTTCACAGGATATAGGCAGCATGAACTCTTTGCTCGTTTAGCCCCTCGTCTCTCTGATGTATCCAAAACTAATCTGTTGGAGGTACTTCACTAGTTAACTGCTATTTTTTTCTTACTTGAAAGTACAAGGAGTATAGTTGCATGGAGTCTTTATCCTATTTGTTTGTTTCGTCTCTAGAGGAAGGCAGTATATCCAGAACAAAAAGAGAAAGATACAGAAAGCAAAAGACATCGGAATATGATGTGATTCAGCCTGAGAGTAGAAAAGATCACATCACCTCTTTTTATTTTATGCATCTCAATTTCTCAACATCTATTAGCTTCACTGAACATCTCATTTTAGCATTTGTTTTAGCCAAAATATTAAGATCATGCAATACCTCTTTAACTTGTAAAAAATAATGATGGATTTGTAGACACTGATTGGTTACATGTTTGTTCTTTTTTCTTTTATTTTGCTGCTCTTAACAAAAATCCATATGAACTATTGTCAGGTTTCTAGGGCATTTGCTGAGGGAAGGACAACCTTAGATGAATATGTTTCCTCACTCAAAGCCTTGGTTGGAATCCATGGTTTAGTAGAAGCTGTTGGAATTGGGAAGGGAAAGGAGGATCTAACGACATTCATTTTGGATGGCTCAAAAAATAGCCAAATACTCACTCATCGACCTGAAATTCCTTCTGGCAAGGCCTGTTCTTCTCTAACCTGTGCTGAGATAGTAAAGTATCTGACAGGAGACTTCCGTCTTAGCAAAGCTCGATCTAATGATCTCTTCTGGGAAGCTGTTTGGCCTCGTTTGTTAGCAAGAGGTTGGCATTCTGAGCAGCCTAGGGGTGATGGTTATGCTAGCACAAAGAACGGTTTGGTTTTTCTTATGCCAGGGATTAAGAAATTTTCACGAAGGAAGCTTTCAAAGGGAGATCACTACTTTGACTCCATCAGTGATGTTCTAGCAAAAGTTGCCAGTGATCCAGAGCTTCTTGAGCTGGAAACTGATGAAATTAAACCTAGTAGCTCCAAGATAGAAGAAAATGGGTGGTCCATTGCAGTGAAATCAGATGATGATCAAGATTCTTCTGACCATGAGCGTCATTGTTACCTCAAGCCTCGAGTCTCCTCAGAAATTTCAAATCTTTTCAAGTTCACTGTAGTTGACACCAGTCTGGCTCATGAAGATAACCCTTCTAAGGTGAGAGAACTGAGGAGTTTACCTCATGAAGCTAAAAGATCTTCTTCCAGAAAATCTGATTTGGCATTGGAGGTCAATACTGATAGGATGAGAAATGGTCTTCAAAGCCTAGCTCTTCACACTCATCCAAAAGAACCAAAGAGTGTTACTGGTGGAAGCGAACAAGGCAGCATTAACTTAGAACCTCTGAAAAAGCCAGCTGATGCCAATCTACCAACAGACCACAAATCAAGAACCATTAAACATCAATTCAGCCGCCGTTCAAAATCAGGCCCCTCAGGCTGCTCAGTCACAAAAAAACGGAAGTTAGCTTCTTGTGTTGAGGCGGATCTGACTTGTGTTTTGAGCTTGCCAGCTAAAAAGAAAAAAAAGGCTGCTGCTTGTAGAGTTGGGGTGACAAATGATAATGCCGTTCCTTCTGGAGTGAATCTGTCTGACAATGTGCAAGTAATTTCTATGGAACAATCAGCTGCAAGACATCCCAATGAAAATGTTCACCAGGATCAGGACCAAAGCTTGACCCATGTTAGTTCCGATGTTTCCCAGGAAAATGAAACAAACCCTATTAATCAGACAGTTATTGACTTAAACTTGCCTCAGGTTTCTTCTGAACCTGAGAGTGATGGCAAAGTAAAGCAGCACGAAGGGGAAAATATTCCCTCATCCAGTTCTTCTGCTGTGCGGATTCCTGTGGGGATTCCCTCATCCAGTAGTTCTGCTGTGGGGATTCCCTCATCCAGTTCTTCTGCTGTGCAGATTCCCTCATCCAGTTCTGCTGTGGGGCCTGTTAACAAGGTTGGAAACTCATTAGACCAACAACCAAGAAGGCAAAGCACTAGGAATCGTCCACTAACAACCAAAGCCCTTGAAGCTCTTGAAATTGGGTTCTTGAGCCCAGTAAGGCATAGTCGAAAGCGCTCTTCGTCTACTACATTAGATCAAAAGTCAAAGCATACTCGTCAACCACGCAGCAAAAGCTCCGTGTACCCCCCCACTATGGATTTTGAGGTCAGGGCATCAACTGATGAAAATTGTAATGGGAATTCAGGTATTCTGACCAATGCTACTCCGACTGAGAAGACAGCCATGACTCGTGAATTGTTAGGGCTTCCAGAAACTTCCTTTCCACCTGCAGCCTCGTCAAAGGAGATGTTTACGTAGTAGAGCTCTATTATGTTAATTTGACGAGTTTTTTTATCCTATTTAAAAGTCCACCTCTCAGCAAGCAGGGTTTGCTGTTATCTGCTGTAGAATTCATTGGAAGTGCTAGAAATGTAATTTCTGGGACTCACATGAAGTCATATGGCCAAGCATGCCTTAATTCACAGCTGCTTGATTATGACTGATAAACATTGCCGATACTGTATATACAGCACAAAAAGCAAGGAAAGTCGTAGGCAGAAATTAGAGCGGTCAGTCTGGAGTTTGCAGATCACAGCAGAGAAGGGAAGTTGAAAGTTAAGCCGGAATTTTTAGCTCTGAATTAAAAGCAAGCAATTGTCCATTGCTCTTGGTTCTCCAAAATGTCATCCATTTACTGGCATTGTTCATAATAGCATGTTTCAACACAGGTAAAAGACCCGAAAGAGTTTCTTTTATACCTGCTGATTGACAATTCCTTTTATACCAGTCTCTTACAGTTAATAAGTGTAATATTTTTGTTACAAATTTTCGTAGTTTTTCTTTCGACATTGTTGGTTTAGGATTCTGTCTAAATATAATCGATTAAAGTTCCCAATTACCTTCCAGCTGTGAATAGTTCACAGCTTCATGTTCATATTGCATATCAGTCATTTACTCTGTAGGAATTTTGCTTGTAGCTAGTGATTGATGTTTCGTCTTTTGGCTCCTGATTGTGTAAATTATGGTGCTCTCAGAGGTCAAGAATTATTTTTTGATCATTTTTGAGCTTCCTTTGTCAATTGTAGTCGCTGGCAGTAAGGAGCATCTAACTAAGTCCTGACTGCTGATAGAGTTGCTGACTTTTGGGCGAACTCTGTGTTGTCATGGTTGTGTCGTGCCTTGATCATGCAATAGTTTTGGAATCAAATCTAACTTGAGTGGTACGGGGTTGGGGAGGTTGTGGGTTTAAGATCTAAGACATAGCATTGTTGTATTCATGCCAACGTTAGAAATCTCTGTTAAGCTACACAGCTTTTGTTGGTCAATGTAGTGAGTTTGTGGGTTTAAGATCTAGGACATAGCACAAAACATTCGCTTAGTAATCGATAAAATGTGGCATGAATACGTGATATTGGGGCCTTGGGGATGGGGATGAATGGAAGAGGGCACAAAATTACATTCGTGTGTAGGATGAAAATTGTATGTTCCAAATGAATTGAATAAATTATTTGGAAATGAGGTCTTGGGTGTAATAGGTTAATTCTTAGTTTTTTAGGAAATGTTGGGTGTTATAGGTTAGTTCTTAGTTTTTAAAGGTTAGGTGCCGATGTAAATATGTAAGACTGACAATAGAGGTTCAAAATTGGTAATGATTGGTTTAGTTAGAACAATAAAAGACATTGTCGAACACACTGTATTCAAACTTGACATAGAGTGAAGGGTGGGGCAGGATGAGGGAGGAGCAGTGTGTAAACTGTGAACCAACATAGTTTTAAGATACAATTTCATCAATAAGTACAATAAGATCATAAGCTCTGTTCCAATTAGTTGGCATGTTCGTTTTCTTTTCTCACACATGCTTGTTGGTGTTTAAATTCAAGCGTAAATATCTCTAATTGTCAATATATTATAAAAGTTAATATTTTGAAATTACATATCAGGAGGAACTAAACAAAATCTCACATGAAATATGTTTTTTAAGTCAAAACGTGTCAATTAATTTGGAGCGGAGAACATCTGAGCTATATATGGAATGTAATCATCTTATCTAAAAGAAAAGGTAAACAATCTCACTTTGCTTTAAAATCAAGTTGATCAAGAGAGGTGTTAAATAATGTGATTGCTGACACAATGCGTGCGTGTCATAGCTTCTTGTTGAATTTATATAAAAAAATAAAATAAAATTTGATGTTACTAACTACATAGGTTGGGTGAATAACATGGACAATTTTGGAGGAAGGGGCAACGTGCGAACTGTGAACCAACATAGAGTATAACGTTACAGTTTTAATAGTGAAATAAGGTCATGAGCAAAGACTTTAATTTGATGCCATATAAGATTACATAATAGGATCCTACTTTGCTTTGTGATAAATTAGATCTGGAGAGGTATTATATATGTGGCTGGTGACACAATGAGTGCGTGTCATAGCTTAACTTTAAACTTTTCAAGGATCAAAAGTGATTTGATGATATGAATAGGATCTGGTTTAGCGTAAAATGTGATTGGTGACACAATGGGTGCGTGTTACAGCTTTTTGTTAAACTTGTTAAAAAATCAAAAGTAATATGATGCTATTAATCACACAAGACGGGTAAGTAAACATAGAAGACAACTAGAGGCAAGGGGGCGCTTGGGGAGGGGGGTGTGGAGGTGGCGTGTACAACAACATAGAGGTAGGGTTAGGGCATTAAGAAGGGAAACAAATAGCTCATATGTAATGATTTAATACCTTATTAAGAAAACAAAAATAATCCTCATAACTCACTCTGGTATGGTTGTTGAGTAGGGCCACATTGAGGCAAGTGTGCTCACTTGGACCCACTTGGATTAAAATAATTTTTTTAATTGTTTATGTAAACTTATATTTCAACACTTAAACAATAAAAAAAAAACGAACACATTTTATAATATTTGAACACACTTAACAATATATTTTGTTTTGTCATTTGAACAACAATTCTATATTTTGAACAATAGTTCTATATTATTCTGATTAATCTGCCAATTATGCATTTACAACAATTTACTGTTGGTTTCATTATTATTTGTAAAGATTATCTAGTAAAATTCATATGTTAACCTTTTGCATTAGCATGTTTATTTTAGGATTTTTTACCAAAATGGCTAATTTAACAAAAGTATTTACCAAAACGGCTATTTATAAATTTTAATTCCAAAACTAGCTAATTATTCATTTTGAAAGAAATAATTTTTTCCCTTTTTCTTTTTCATTGAACCGATTAAGTTTTTTGGGTTTTTCTTTCTTTCCTTTAAAAAAAAAAAAAAAAAAAATGTGTTTTTGAATTTACTTCAAATTTTGTTCGAAAGAGACTTGATTGGTTCCTTTAAACTCCTCTCACACACTTCAACATCACATGGTACCTCCCATGCTTTCTCGAGCATAACCATAGTCTCTTGCTGACAAACCATCTATGGTTGATGAGTGGATTGGGATCTCAACATGTTTGCACTTTTGGCGTTGTGAATCAACTTTTGATTTGCAAGGTCAGACCATTTTTGCTCATTACATTGAATTATCTCACGAGATTTTCTTCGCTCATCAAAATACTTGTTAAGCCGATAGAAATTAAGCTGCACAAGGACGGTGATTGGTAAATTAAATTACGAGCCCCTTTTAGAACAGTACGGAGTAATAAAATACTCCGTTATTGTGGTGATTTCATATCATTTTCCCTCATCAGTGCATAGAGCCCACTTTTCTAGAGGTATTGAATCCCATTGTTTCTTAGCTCGTTGACTGATGGTTCCAATGGTATCCATACGCTTATTGAATTTGCAACTTTAGTTTTGTAAAGCAGCTTTGTGTATTGCATTTTAAAAAAAAAAATTACAAATACAAACAAAAAAAAAAAAAAAAAAAAGAGTCATCTTCTTCCAAGTCAATAAATTAGGCTAATTAGCTAATATTGGAATTAAAATTATTAATAGCCATTTTGATTTTAAATTAGCCATTTTGGTAAAAGATCCTATATTTTATATGAATCATGATTCTATGAATTTTATTTTGGCCATAATAGGACGTGGCTTGATAGTTAAGTCCAAAGCATCATCATTTGTGATATTGGGCGAACGTCTTTGACTTGGCTTTACGCATGGAACAAGTTGGGCCTTATTCTTTTGAACTTCTGGGCAGGGCAGAGTAGAGCATAGCAGGAGTGAGTAGAGCAGAGTAGAGTAGAGCAAGACTCAGCAGAGCAGAGCAAAACAAATTGCAGCAGAGCAGAGCAGATTTCATTATTATTATTATTATTATTATTATCATTATTATTATTACCGCATTATTATTATTATTATTATTATTATCATCACTATTATTATTATCGCATTATTATTATAATCATTAAATATTATTATTAAATATTAATTATTTATTATTATTAAATATTAATATTATTTATTATTATTAAATATTAATAATATTTATTATTATTATTAAAAATTAATAATTATTATCTTTAAATATTAGTTAATATCTTTAAAATATTAATTTTTATTATAAAAAATCAATTATTATTATTATTATTATTATTATTAATAATAATAATAATTATTATTATTATTACTATTATTATTATTATTAAATATTAATTATTATTATTACTGTTAAATATTAATTATTATTTTTAAACAGAACAGAGCAGAGCAAAACTCAGCAGAGCAGAGTAGCTCTAAAGAACACGACCTTAGCCCATTATGCATGGCAGACGACGCACAACTAGCCTAGCAACTCTCTCAATCAAGTCTGGAATTAATCCAAAGGCACACTTTTCCATATCCTTGCATTTTTTACTTTAAAAATAAAGTGACACTTCATAATATACAATGTCTACTTGATTATATGTTCTATAAAAGGAGTACTCGCTAACTAACTACTCCCGATCTAACGACTAAATTAGATGTGTACACATATGCATGAGTTAATTGATATGTAGTATTAATTTAGGTTCATGCATATATATAACTGTCAATTTAAATGGAGAAAAAGTTCTATTGGACCTAAATCTTAAGCCCCTAGTTAGCCGGCAAGACTCCATAAAAATGGAGGAAAAAGATAAGGGAATCTCTACCTTTAAAGTGTTTCTAGTAAAAACTGATCAAGATTATGAGATACAATTTTAACCCTTAGATTAAATATATTTTGTAGCTGAATTAGTTACTGCATCACGGTCTCACAGAGTAGTAGTTAGAAATACTCTTTATATTAACGCGGCAATTAATTTCAAAATGAGTAGTGGAGGCAATAACAAGTTAACAACAAAGGTTGATGCATGGCAAAAGTATCACGGAAAGAATGAAGGGGATAAGCAAAGGCAAGTAACAAGCAAAGTGCGGGTATCATACGCACGTAAGTAGAAGTGGCAGATGTAATACATTGCTTAAAGAAGTAGTTATCAGATTAATGACAACAGATTCAGCAAATCAGAGGTCGCATAATATTGTAAGACGTACTATATTTTTCGGCCGGTCCTTTTACATGCAACCCCATGTCTTTTTTATATTTTGTACCGTATTTATGGATATTTCTATAACTATCTACTTTTTTCATTTCAAATTAGATGGCATAGTTTGACTTTGTCCATTTATTTATATAACTAGCTTTGACTTTGTTTTGTGATTTCGTGTGAAGAAAAAGTATAGTCATGTGAGGTCTTGTTAGATTCGTCTCAACATTTATTTTTTAAAATATCAAATTTTTATAATTTTTGCTATTATGTAATCAACGATATTTGCATTAGATAGTATGCATTGACAAACGTGTCTAAATGAAATGTGTCTTCTAATATGAAACAGAGGAACTATGTTTTACTAAGTACTACTTTGTATTATTACTATAGTACAAGTATATTTCGATGTTTAGATTATACGGAGAAATATAAAAAGACGAGAAATTATGCACCTAAGAATAGTATCATTTTATATTGGGATGGTCTTATTATATATTTTATATTTGATCGTTGAATTTTATTACTTTTTATCAAACCATACTGCAAACTATAAATCAATAATCTGACAATAAAATGGTTTTTAGATACGTACAAACAATCATTTTCAGATATAACTAACCGCATAAATTTTAATAAGTTTCTAGTCAAAGTGTATTTTGAGGGAAAGTTTCTAGTCAAAGTAAGTATGGTTTAATAATTAAAATCAAATCTTCCTTATTAACAATTTGTTTTAAACAAAAAAAAAATGTTGATGGTAATTGCAGCTCCACTCAATAGATTATTGATGACATTGGTTTTTTGATCTACTAGGGTGTTTTGGGCGCGCTTCGCACGCGTTGCTAGTTGGAATTTTAGGGTGTAATTGTTTTCTTGAGGTGTGGCAATGTGAGGGTTTTTTCTCTTTCAAATACGTAATGAGTTTGAAAAGAAATTTATGTTCGGGTGCAAGTTACATATGTGTCTAAAGTAGTATTGAGCATGGTAATTGTTTTAAAAAATTGATTGAAGTCCAAATACAATAAAATGATGTTTTTGTAAAGCAATGAAAATGAAGTGCGTTCTATTAAGGAATTATATTTTTTTTTAAAAAGAGAAGAATGCAAAGATGCTTTCAATTTGCATGTAAGCCCAAATGTATATGCTTGGTTGGCAATTTAAATTTTGTAGTCTTGGCCCATTTACTAAACAATATATGGCCCTTTTTTCTAAGCCCAAATGCTAGCTCAAAAAGATGTTTTAAAGTCTTGTATTAATAGTATTCATATAAATCTATTGAATTTGTGTAAGTGTAAAAAATGCAAGAATCATTGACAATTATAAAAAGAATAATTTTAAATTTAATTATAGACAATGCTAATCTTTGTTGCCATGTTTATATATTATTATTTGTAAGTTTTATAGTCAAAGAGTCAACAACGGTGAATTAGAAATAAATATTAAGCGAGATCATATATATTTAATATAACTAATTATATGTAGAATTTGTTTTAATATTTTATAACAATCGCTTTAATTTACGTGGTTTTTGTTGGATACGAATTTGTTGTTAGTTAAATGAAAGTAATTGTATTGTTAATTTTTTATTTGAATAGTAATGTTACAAATTTAACTTTGACTTAAATTAATACTATAATTTTGAGTTTTCACCTTGGTTAGTCTATTGTTTTTGGTTCAAAATTAAATCATTTCAAGTTATAAATCTTTGTCAAAATCTATTTTTTTTTTCGGCAAAATTAAACCTGTGTTAATTTGTCTAAATATTTCAACAATGAGATTGTCTAAGTTTTTTTCATAAAACATTTTATTGTTTGAAATTGATTACATATTCATTACGTACGTTTTGTTTTGGATATTTGTTGACATAACTAATATGGGAAGGTAAGTAGTATAGCTTTTGTAACATTTTTAGAAAGTTATTTTTTGTTGTTTTCTATGCAAGCAAAAATGAAATTGGCAACAGAGGAAGTTGTGAAGGATGATTGATGGATTAAAATTTTGGCTTTTCATTTCTCTCTCTAACATTGCTTCATTTATTGTGTTTTACAGAGCTTTCAATTCTCTTCAAAGTTTTCTTTTTAAACTCTTTTAGTTTCCTTACACAACCTTTTGTTTCTCCATTTTCTTTGAAATTTTTTCCCCTTCTTCCTTCTGTAAGTGAAACCATGGCTAACAACAGGGAAGTGAGTGAGTTGAAAGCGCAATTTGAAGTGTTGTACGCTAAAGTGGCTGAAATTAGAGCACAGGAGAAGATTAAGAGAGAAGAATTGGCTAATATCAGAGCGGCACATACGACAAAGCTACAAGAAGCAAGGGTTTTGTCGGCCCAGTTGCAGCGGCTTTGGGAGCAGCGAATTGGAGAGCTTTATGGGCAAGTTGATGAAATTCGTAGAAGGGCTTGGGCAGGTTATGGCGGAATTGGGGCGACCGTTGAAAATGTGCAACCTGTTGAGAGGATTATTGAAGAGGATCGGGGTAGTGCTGTGGCTAGGAATGTTGGTGTTCGAGGAGGTCATGTAGAACAAAGGGATGATGGTGGTGTTGAAGGAGGTCCTGTAGAACAGAATGAGGTTGGCGGTGTTGATGCTGAGATGGAGGAATTAAATGAAGAGGGGGGTGACGGTGATGATGCAGAGGGGAGAACGGTGATGATGAAGAGGATGTAGAAGAGGGGAATGCTGATGATGAGGATGATGAAGATGCTGAAGATGAAGATGGTGAAAATGGGGATGAGGACGGGGGTAAAGCCGATGAAAATGGTTTTGAGGAGGAGGTTGAAGATGATGCTGAAGATGATGATGGAGGGCATTGGTCTTCTGGCTCTGATGGTGGAGATGAGTTTATGGGTTACGATGACAATCACGGGTCAGAGTCTTCAACTAATTCAGATGCTTACCGGCGCACTCCAAGGAACTTTGATCGCATTTGTTAGATGAATTCGTTATGTATCGAGCCTTGAGTTGGGATTAGGTTGGGTTTGTTTATAATTAGTTATGTAATATATTCTAGTACGGCTTGATCGCTTAGTGGTTTAGATAAACAACCTGTTAAAGTTTCTAAGTATATTGTTAGTAGTTGGCAAGCTATTTTTTTTTTTTACTTGATATGAATGCGAAATGTTATGGTAATTTGCTTGCTTTTGTAACAGGTTGTTGTAGGTTTTTGTTAAGTACGAACTAAATGAAGTTTGATTCATGGTTGTAGTAACAGTTTATGTTTTTTTAAAAGTGAAATGAATGAAGCTTGATTCATGGTTTTTGTTTAAGTGAAATGAATGAATTTTGATTCATGGTTGTTTAAGTGAAATGAATGAAGTTTGATTCATGTATACTATAATTCATGTAATTAGGGGTGTAATGTAATTTTGATTCATGGTTTATGTTTAAGTGAAAAAATTGAGGAAAGTATATCATTATTATGTTGTTAAACTTTGAATTTTGGTTTTGTAGTTGTTTAGATTTTTGATAAAACATACAACTATAACAAATTTAAATAGGATATATCGTACTTCATTACACCCAACTCTAAATTACCTCAAAAAGACTTCTTAATTCAAAATCCTCTAATATTCCAAAAATATAACAACTTTGCCATTCTAATAGAGTTATGTAATCTTAGAATTAATGACAAGATCAAGATAAAACATTGAATCGATTCAATAACAATGCATGAAATCATGAATTGGAAATTGAGGAATTCATGTCAAAAGAAAAAGGAAGGGAAAAAAAAACTATGCAGTTCTTAGTGTGATTCTATACTTTTGTGGTTGATCTAGAGATTTAAATTTTAAATTATATTTTAGAAGGGAAACTACACTCTTATGTATTACAAGAAGAATTTACTCAATCCTAGAAATTCCTACTTCATAATTTATTAGTTGTTAATTTTCAGCTAATTGTAAGTAAATGTGCACTAATTAAGTATTTATATGATTATGAGTGTTCAGTATATGTAAAAAATGGATTCCATGATGGGGTGTAATCTAATTAGGGGTTATGTAACTTCACAAGCAAATAGGGAATGAAAACAAGATTCTTTATGGCTGGACTAATAAGTACTCTACATGTGCATTTGTTGTAAGTTAGGATTTTGCAAGGAAAATAGCACCTGACATGTATAGCAGAACATCATATTTTGGATTAGAAAGCATAGAGTTTATAATACAAGAACTTGCCGAACTCATGCATTAGAGTAAGCAAGCAAAAGAGGCATTGTTTGTAGGCCTAACTAGAAGTAGATGCAAGTTTGGAATATTAAGTTGTTTGATATCAGCAACAGCAACAAAAGAAAGATCTAACTTTAAATTAGAAGAGACAATGTTTGACAAATAGTTTGAGAATAGCCAACATGATTAGGCAGCAATCAAGAAGGCCTCAAACAAGAACACATCTGAAATGATAAGTAAAGCTTATCGTGAATGATGTGTTCTGATTAGAAGCCTTAGATTGGTAGAGCAGATATTCAGGGACGGGAAACTGACTGGACAACCCACCTCAGCACCCCTACCCTGTTCAATGCCTGAGCTGGATGAACTATAATGTGCATTGGTGTGGACTTCAGAGCTGCAGCAAGGTGATCAAAATCGTTCCAATCATCCTGAGAAGAACAAAGGGTGATGTTATGCCTAAGGTGGATAGTGGTGTGTGCTTTTTTAACTAAATAAGATAATGGTGAGGATTTATTAGGCACCTTAATTTTCCTGTTGAAAACTTCCAATGTAGTCAGATTGAAGATTTGCTCACAAACTGTACCAAAGGCAGTCAGTCGAAATGTTCTAGTGTCATCCGTAGCATCAAAGGTAAAGTTGACTCTGCATTTGTGGTGTCAGTTCATGTTAACTAAGATTAGTACTTGGTTGTACAACACAAGGTTGTTAAATTTACCTTTCAGTGGAAGTGCATTTCTTGTCAGGGCAATGTGGGCAAAAGAATGGCACATTTGCAGCAAGGCCACATCGCCTTCCACAATTATCGCAACCAATGTAAGCAATAACATTGCTCAGTTGTGCATCTGGAATTGTGACTGTGAGCGTGTATAGTTCCTCTTGGACAGTATTGTCAACCTGAATGAATCAATGTTAGTTAAGAAGAAGAGTTAGGGTAGCAAAGGGATAGGGTATAGTTCTCGAAAGAGCTTACATTTTTGCTGATGATTTGATCAAGTGTTGTAGGAACTGGTTCAGTGCCTGCAGTCATGAACTCGAGTTGCCTTGCCATGTAGCCAACAATGATGTCTGGTTGTGCATGGGCCCTAATGACATATACAAAGGCAGAAATAGGTGGGATTAATTAAGGGAGCTAAAATCTGATTTTATATAATTGCATTATAATGTGAAAGTGTAATGTTATAAATGATTGTGAGCAATAAGGTTGCTGAATCACCAAGCTCTCAAGGCATCAACTTTTTCACCGGCAGATGTTGGGTCAATTGTTGTAGACATGCTTGATTGTAGTGAAAAACCTGTGAAAGCTAGCATTAGTATACTTATTTTTGGTAGCATATATAAAGTGGTAGAGGGTGAAAATATTTGTAACCTCTGTGGGTAGCAGGCTTCAAAGAAGTTAAGCTTACAACCAAGAAAGTGGATGACTAGTCCTTGAGGTTTTTACAGTCAGAAGTTGCTAGTTGTCCCCATGCAGAGATGATCATTGCCGAGTACCAGTGCTACAAATGCAATGAACAACAAGTATAACATTGTCTATAATTATATTGGTGGGAATGTTGTTGAAGTTTTAAAAAGGTAGTTACCTCTCATTAACTATGCTGATAGCGCGCACATCAGCTACCCTGCCTGATTTATATGTCACTTGCCGAACTTCTTCCATGTGGACTACAATCCCAAGCAAATCTAGCAAACAATTTGGAATTAGGTACATTACTTTCAAGAGATGGATGTGTTTCCGGACAGTAATATTTAGTTTAGATAAGGTTAATAGTTTACCAAACCGGTCTGCTGGACCGATGGTCTTGAGTACATCAGTAATAGGGATGTATTCTGGCAAAATAGGCCCCTCAGTTCGATCGATAGCTTGGATTTTAGTCATCCCTCCAAATGTTAACTCACATTCTCCTGGAAATGAGCTGAATTTTGGGTTAATTGTTCTGATTGGAGAATTAGCTATCTCATACTTTTTCCTGTGTTCAAAGACTTTTTTGAAGTGGTCACATTCATCTCCAAACAAAGTTGCTTTCATGCTGTTACCCTATAGCATAGGACAGGAAAAGTTATGTAGAAATAGCTATAAGTTACAAATAACAAAGAAGTTTAGAGTGATTGGTTTATACTTCCTCATCTTCAAAAACCAGCTTCTGAAACCTCTTTTTGTTAGGAGGAGTTCGGATAGGAGATTTTTCTTTCACAGTGACTCGAACTTTGTATGCTTTGCTTACAGGTGAAAGTTTGTCTAAAGGTGTGTATTCAGGTTTCATCTGTGGTGTACAAATTAAAAAAAGTTTTGTCACATGAATTTAAATTAGATAAAGTCACATCTGGTATAGGTTTTATGTATTATTAGTCAGCAGCAAAAATCTGGATAATATGTTGTACATATACTATATACTGTGTTATAATTGAATCAAAAAGCAGTAACAAATAGTCTTAAATGACGTGGTTTGTATTCCATAAGTTTCTGTTGAGTGTTATTCAATGCTGAGGCACATGGGAGAGTTCATCTATGACTAAATAATTATCTTAGGTCACTGCTTTTAACCTTCAGGTAATAAATAGCCACTTAGGCATATATAAAAGGAAGGTAAGGTGTCAAAATTTTTGCAAGGCTTGTTTGTATTTCTTACTCACATTTCTATCTCAGTTCTCTCAAAACAAGGTAGTCAGCAATGGCAAGCAAGAACAAAGATAAGGTGGATAGTAGTGGCAAGTGTGGGCTTTCTAAGAAACCTAGCTTAGAAGTAGTGGAGGAACGACTTGCTGTTCTTGAGAAAAAGGTGGAGGACCTAGAAGCAGTGGTGTCTGCGCTTTGCTTTGAACCAGAAGATAAGCATCCCAGCCTAAAGAAAGAGACACCAAAAGAAGGGACCATCAATTATAATCCTGAGCCTACTCTCCATTGCAGTGACATCCACCACCATTCAAGCCCTTCATATTCACCTGGAAGTGATGCTTCCTATGGTGATTCTTTTTAAGGAAGCTATTAATTGGCACTGAGTCACTTGTTCTAAGTTTTAGTAGTTATCTACTTCTTTTTCTAAGAAATAGTAGTCTTATGTTGCTATTTTCTAAGTATTAGCAGTTATCACTTGTGTTTTCTAAGTATTAGTAGCTTTCTGTTGCTTAAGTAGTACAACTGTTCTCAATGTTTGTTTCTTTATTATTGTACTGGTGCTGTGTGGATCTAATGAAAGCTTCTATTTATTTTCTTTGGTCATTTTTTGTAATCATTTCCTATTAATCTTTGTTAACCATCAGATGGCTTTCTTTTTCACCACATGTGCATAACCAAGTTGTTCACTATAATCTACATGAACTTCTGGAGTTGATGTAAATTACAGTGTACATGGTGAAAATTAATGGTAAAAAGAAAACCATGACTATAGTAAAATTAATTACATGAGCACTTGATGGAGAAAGAGAACCATTACCATGTAAGTATAAATTACAAGTTGGTGATTTTCACTTGAAATAACTACAGAGCTTGGTTATTGTCATGTGATTCAGTGTACAGTGTACTGAGTGAAGAAGTTCATGTCAATTTCCATGAATCTTTATTAAGCTAGCAACCGGGTATTGTGTTAGAAGAAAAATGTAGTCCAAAAAGAATTAGGAGCTGGTTACATTTAAGCATTGTGAAGAGACTTGTTAGTTATGGAAAAAAAGCATGTAATCTAGCTACCATGCTATGATAATGTACAAAGCAAGCAAGAATAAACAATTAAACTTTTCAATTGTAGCTAACATAAAATAGAATTCAAGATGTCATTGTTAGGACTTAGGAAGCTTATGTAGGTCATATGAGGAAGCTAAAAAAGATGATTAAAATGAATACAAGCAAATAAATGAAAAGGAATCAACTTCATGTAAAGGCAGCTGTTAATTTTCAAAGCAGAATCATTTATGGACGTACCTTGTTGAAGTGGAATTGTAGGCAGTTATTGCTAGTCTACAACAACAGAGAAGCAAATTAGTAGAGATAATCGAAGTGGAGTAAATGCTCTCTTTGAACTGTAAGTAGCTTAAATAGCATAGAAGTTTATGAGGTGGCTTAAATAGCAGAGAAATTTATGAGGTTAAACATGAGTGGCCTTGTAAAATCCAGTGGGTTTTAGCATGTTCTGATACATTTTATCGCTAGCAGATAAGAAGGTGTATAAAGTGAACTGAAGTGAAGGAAATCTGCTCTGTGGTTAATATCAACAAAGGTTACTGTTATTATGATGAAGTGATAATAATTATGTAAGCCAAATATGAAGTGATTTAAAAAAAAATAAATTGCAGTAGATAAAAGAGTTTAGTAATAATTTCAGACGGGAAAAACTTAGCATACTACTGTTAGCTTTCTCTTTTATATACCTTCACATATGAGAAAGGTTCTATGGTAGATTTAAGAATGATTTGAAACATGGTATTGTCCAGCAGTTAATAAAGTGTATGCAGTGAAATTAAATAAAGGACATTTTTGTGGGGAATAGAATGAACGGTTATTGTTGTAATGCAGTTGTAAAAGTAAGTATGTTAACCAAATAAGAAAAGATAGAAGTTGCTTTTCACAAAATCAGATTTTGTGATGCATTCAAAGTGTATAGTAATAATTTTAGATTGGAAAACCTAGGATGTTGCTATTATTGTTTTCTTCTCTTAGTAATTGTTGCGAATGCCAACACTAACCTGAATATTTTAATAAAATACTCGCATGTATTATATGTAAGGCTTTTTTTAATCCCCCCCGGTAAGGAGAAATAAATTGCAAGTGCAGTGATGTTATTTTAATACACTACTAGAAAGCAGGCCATTTTCGACGGAAAAAATCCGTCGAAAACACCCCGTTTTCCATCAGAATTGGTTATCGGAAAAGGTTTTGTAGGTACATCGACCTTTTCCGACGAAAATTCCGTCGAAAACAATTTTACAACAGAATTAAGTCGTCGGAAAAGATTTTTTGGCCCGGAAAAAGTCCATCGGAAACTTCCGTCTGACTCAATTCCGCCGGAAATTCCGTCGGAAAAGGCTGCTTAAATTAAAAAAAAAAATGTCGCACCACCACCGGCATGGCGTATCACCATTCACCACCTCCAACCACCCTATAACCCATAGTCAACCCCACCCCCACCCAACTGCCCGAAACACCACCACTCTAATCGAACCACCCCACCTTAATTGAACCACCCCACAACTTACCCTAACCGAACCAGACCCCACCACCTTAACCCACCCCACCTAACCCTAACTAAACCCAGATCTAAAACCATCCACCACGGACCACGCACCTAAACCCAGATCTAAAAACACCCATCCTAAGCGAACCACCCACCACGGCCCACCTAAAACCACCCACCACGGCTCCAAAACACCCCAACCACCGTAAATATTAAAAAAATCGAAATAACAACTAACAAATTTTTTTTTAAAAAAGAGATACATACCTTATTCCACCTCCAAAACCTCGAAATATAGAGTTTTCATGGTCGAATTTCACCTTAAAACTTTCGTTTTTTGCCGTTGATGTTCATGTTTGTGTTGGTGTTGCGGTTCATGTCGATGTTGTTGTTGTGGCGGTGGTTAGTGTTGGCGGTGGTAGTGGCTGGCGGTAGGTGGTAGTTAGAAGATGGGGAAAAGAAGATGAGAGAAGGAAGAGGAAAGAAGGATAAGAAGAAGAGGAAAGAGAAGAGGAGATAGAAAGAGAACGAGAACGAGAGGAAGAAGAGGAAAGAGAAGAGGAGAGAGAAGGAGAACGAACGAGAAGAAGAAGAAGAAGAAGAAGAAGAAGAAGAGGAGAGAGAAGGTGAACGAGAAGAAGAAGAAGAAGACAGAGAACGACAGAGAGAAGGAGAAGGGGAAAGGGATATAGAAAGAGAAGGGGGAAAGGAAAGAAAAGAGGCGGAAGGCGAGGGAGGTATGTTAGGGTTTTATTTAAAAGCTTTTTTTTTTTCTTTTTTTTTAAAAAAAAAATTATATTCCGACAGAATAAAAATTTGTCGGACATTGTACTTTTCGACGGAATGGAATGTACATAAAATTCGTCGAAAATTCCAACTTTTCCGACGGAATAATATGTCCGTCGGGACTTTTCCGTCGAAAATCGACCTGATTCTAGTAATGATACAGGTCATTTTGCTCTTGGTTTGTTCGTGTGTAAGACCAGATTGCTTTAGCTAAGAAGTGAAATGGTAATGTATTATAAGGTATAGCTTCCATGAAATGCAAATATGTGCAAGGAGTGTTGCAAGTGACTTCAAAAGAAATCATGTAAACTAACAGAACAAAATGTAAGAAAAGCATTGCAGTCCTTTGAAAATACCATATATTAAATATAAATGTAAGAAAAGAAATTAACCTAATATAATGTCGGCATTTGTTTAATCACTTGTCAAATTAGAAGTATCTTTCTTTCATTAAACACGGAAAATAAAACAAGCGCGAGCTCATATCCGGGCAAAATTATTCAAATTGGGTTGGGCGGTCACTCTTTACTAAAATACACAACACTTTCTCTTCACTGTGTTTTCAATCTTACATACTCTGAATTCTCCATTGAAGTGGATTTTGAGCTTTCTCTCCTCCATTGAAGCAGCTTCTGAGGTAAGACTTCTTTCTAATGAAACATCAAATATCAATTTCACAATCTAGGTTATTCGTCAATTTTTTCAAATTAGGGTTCTTTCAAGGTGAATTGATTATTGAATGTTATGTTAGTTATAATTTGATTAGTCTAAGGTTAACATTTTTCTATCCATTTATAACATTCTAAAGCGAGAAGAATTTAATTTCATAATCTGCTGCAAAACAAAACCCTTTAATCTTCCAATTGTGATTATAAAATTCCAAAATCTAACCAAACAATATGGTGAATTGATAATTCTGGAATTTGAAGTCTTGTTCGTGAATAATCTAGCATGTTGAAGATAAATGGAACCTCGAAATTTCAATTTGCATTTTTTTAGGAGTACTATAATTAGTTTAAGGTATGTATTGTTATAATGTGTTTCAATTTCAGGATAAGCTCTAATGGAGGGTACAGAGATCTATGGTAGAAGGGGTAGCCAGCTTGTGAAAGAGCTTGCTTGTGCCGAACCGGGTCAACTTACTCGATTTAATGTGAGATTTCTCCTTTATGTTTGTGGATAATCTACACCCTTTGTTCAATCTATATTTAGCTTCCCATTTGTATAAGGCAAGGAAATTAAGAGTATATGTTAAATGCGGAATTGAAATACCGAAAGAGAATGGAGAGAAATTGTTAGAGAAAATGTAGAAATGAAGATAGAAAAAAAAAAGTTGGTAAAAATTGCTTTGTCCTTCATTAACTTTGTTCTTGTGTTCACCAGGATGATTTGTTTAATCAAGTTATCAAGGAATGTGCTGTGCACTACAGTCAATTTTACGAACTTACTAGGTAAGCTTCCCTTTGTTTTTCATTAAGTTTTGATTTCAATTTCCTAAAGGTTTCGCTCCTCAGCACATTCTTGCCATGCTTCTTTAATCCCTTCAGCACTTGAACAAGCCATTCATCTGATTCTGCATAACTGAACCACCATTAAACTACTGTACTGTACTGATGCTGTCCCAGAAGCTATGCGATTTTCTGTTGAGTTTGAGAAACATCTCATCAGCTCTCTAATGTACTTATCCTTCCCAAACTTTTCGATAATCCATTCAACTGGATGACAAGTACCATATTTTAGCTTGTACTACGTATATGCTAGCTTTGATGATTTCCAGTGGTTTCCATTGCAACATTTTATGTATAATCATCCTCCATTCTGCCTAGCTTGAAATTGCAACTCGCAATGCTTTGTCACAGATTTAAGTAATTTGGGAAACTTAAGTATTTTGGGCGGTCTATACTAATTTATTCTTTACCCTATTTTTGGGATTAAGGCTTTGATTGTTGTTGTTAACACTAGTTTATTCTTGTGAACTTTTGTGTACTGATGAACCTGATCTTTTGGCAGGAAAATGCAAGATGAAGGATTGGATGTCCAATCAGCTAGAAATGCTGATCACTTTGGAATGCTTATCCATCATCTTTCTCTATTACGCAACAAGCGTTGCCTAATGGCATATGTGTAAGTAATAGCTTACGATCCTGTTCTCACTTGATGCTTAGCTATCCTGCCAATCATTTGTTTTCTCAACTATCAGTTTCTGAAAAATGCAGGCATAACCGATCTGAAATTATACAGAACCTAAGCTGGAAGGTTGGGCGGGTGCTTCCTGAAGAAATTGAGCACAAGCTAAGTGATCCAGAAAAGCGTTACTTTAAGAGCCACTCTTCAGCTTTACAATCGTATATGAGGGAGATGGATGGCCTTGATTTGACTGTGGTATGAATCTGTTCTTCTTTCTCCCTATCTTCTACTCATCATTTTCTTGCTTAGGACTACAAATTCTGAACATTCCTCCTTCACATGAACCCTCAAGAAGTTGTGGATACTAAATTGTGGGTTTCTGTGGCAGGATATGGTGCCACCAAAAGATCCCTACATTAAAGTAAGAGTCCTAGATGATATTGGTGTGACAGCAATGGGAGACCGAGATACCAATCTTGCACGCCACTCAATCCACTTTCTTAAACGAAGTGATGCTGAGCATTACATGTTTCAGGTAGATGGACAGTAAGACAACCTTTTTTTGCTGGTTTTAAACATTTTGTATCTAGAGAATAACTAAACTTAAAATCTTGTTTTGTAAACAGGGGATGATGGAAGAACTCCTAGGGTGATATAAAATGTGTAGTCTCATAGTCTCATCATATATGCTAGTGTGCTACTCCGTGTCTCATAGTCTCATCATATATGTTACCGTGCTACTCAGCATGCTGTTAGTTTCAAGATCATCATGCTCAGTTGTTTGGCTTTGACTGGGAAGAAGACTCAATCATCTTTTTAAAGTATGCATATCCTAGCAAATGTGCGAGCAAAAGCTGCCAGAGCATTAGATCTGTGGTTTAACTGTGCAGGACCTGTAAACTCTGATGTTTTCATGCTGTTATTCATCTAGGATTGTAACTAGCCTCTTCCCTCTAAAAACCAATAGAAATAGAAGAAACTTTTTATAATCAATTTTATTGAATACGTATCAAGCTGTGGATGATAATAAATTTTGTTTGATAAATTGATAGTAATAGCTGAGGGTTCGTTTGGCACCATTTTTGATTTTTAGTTTTATGTTTTTTAAAAACTGAAAACTAATTATGGTTTTTGGGTTTCGAAACTGTTTTCGTAAATTGAAGCCTATTTATTTCCCTTTCTCGAAGGGAAGGCAAACATGTTAAGTTCTAATTCGCACTCTTTCAAATTTATGATATTTGTTACTCATAACAACTTTGTCATGAGAAAATACAACTTTATCTTCATAATAAACAAAAAAGTGTTCATCTAGTGGCATTTTTATAAATTAGTCAACAACTTTTATTAAATGCGGGTTCGACAAATTTTAATTTATTTATGAAAATGTCATGCTGTCTAGGATATTTTTATAATTTATTTACTGAAATGCCAAACGATTTCTGTTTATCATAAAGATAAATTGAAACTCCCTCATTTGTCATTGCCTAAAAATTCAAATTTTATCCATTCTTTAATTGACACAATTTAATTTTAGCACTATTCAACATTCACACACACTTGACTAACTTATGTGACTTATATTTATAAAAAAAAATACAATCGCATGAAATCTTGTTAATAAAAATTCCAGGTTTTAATATTTTTTCCTCTCAATATGCATTAACAAATTATCTACAAAAAAACGTGTTAAATAAAAAAGAACTAAATGTGTGGAATTTTAGCCCTTTTGAAAAGCAGCAATAATATTAGTGACGTTGAATGGGCGAAACTCAGTTGAGCTTCAACGCACACAAACTACAACAAATGAGAGCCACTAAAAACGACCCGCCGAAAGAAGTTAACATTATCTGCTTATCTCATACAAGGCAAGACACACTGGGAACTTTCTCAATGCGATTTGTTGCATCATTTTCATCGGAACTCATTTAATTCATACTTTCATAGCAGTAAAAATACATTCCAGTCATAGAAGTTAGAATGGCATTGCAGCAACCCTACCATTACCTTGCAACATCATCCAACCGCAACCGAATATATCTTACTCAATCATCCGGTGACAAGAAAGGGAGGGGCACCCAATATTCACCTGCCGAGCAATTTGCACCACTTGCATCGACCTTCCAACGGAGGCTCGTGATAGGCATTGGGTCAGCCTCGTTTGTAGCTATTGGTGCTAATTTTGGAGGAATCACGAGCTTTTTCCTTGGACTTTCACCAGATACAGGGCGTAATCTCAAGCTAGATGTTCTTTATCCAATAGGAGGATATAGTCGCTGCATTCAGCCAACAGATGAAGGATTTGGTTAGCAAGTTCATGTCATACATACATTCTATATATTATTTGAAGCAACTATATATGAACATGAATTTAAATAGTTGTCAGACTGAATGTTGAATGTTTTTTTTTTTCTGGACAAAAACAGAATTCATCTATCCAGCTACATGGGTGGCGGACCAAACTTTATTCTATCGAGCAGCAGAACGGGCAGAACAGGAAAGATCACTCGATCCCCCTCCACTCAATTCTGATAAACGTCGCAAAAGGAATGTGAATGAACCAGTTGTAGCCTTTGGTCCTCCTGGCTCGACTGGTGAGCTTAACGTCAGCGTCATTGTTTCACCAGTCTCTCCAGATTTCAGGTAATTAAGTTTGAAGCATGGTCTATTAGTCTCAACCCTCCACCCCTGGGGTACTTTATACAATTATACTCAAGCGACTCAGTACTAAGTATAAAGAAAACACAACAGTTGAACAAATTCTATTTAAAGAACATTGTAAACTAATGGCACGAGTTGTACATGTATCAACTATGTACTTTTGATCCTTCACCTATCTTAAGCTATAACCACTGGTTTCTCTAATGTTAGCTGTAACAATCAACAGTTCAACATTTACTGCAATAGGAACATTTTAATTTTTGAGTCAAATAAACAAAATTTAAAGAGAGTTATATTAGCACAATAGCACCTCCACACCAATAAGGAACTATTTTGGTTTTTGAATCATATTTTGTTCACAGGATAGAAGCCTTTGGAGGACCAAAAGAGGTAGGAGAAGCTGTTATCAGAACAATAACTGCTCCCACTCGACGTCCAGATGTGAAGGCTACATTGCTGAGATCAAACCTGAGAGGCGATTCTCTGAAAAATATAAATTATTATGAGTTAGAATTTAGGGTTGAAAGCTCCTCGTTTCAGCGCCATAATGTGACTGTATGTTGTGCCCAAAATGGAAGGCTATACACACTCAACGCACAAGCTCCAGAATCAGCATGGCAAAAAGTGAAAGAAGACTTCTACAAAATTGCTGCCTCATTTAGTCTAACTTCATAACATATGCATGGAAGCATGTGTATGTACAATAAAGAACCAAAGATCAAGAAACAAATTCATGTGGTTTCTGAAACTAATCTAGCTACATTCACGGTCAGACAAAAAGTTACTACGGAATATATGAAAGACAGATTGGTACAGAATTCAGAATCATTTTGCTAGACTTTACTAAGGATTTTATATGGTATCCAATACACATAGGCGTGCAACAGAGCCTAAAATTATAGGCTGGAATTAATTCAAAAGATAGCTTTGAATTAACCGGAAGAAATTCAGCTTGTATTCTGATAAGCCGTGCCACAGTGCCGCCCTTCAGCCTTCTCTCACAATAGTCATAATTATGAGAAGGAAAAAGGAAGCTAGTGAATTTTATTTTTTTATATCTTATATTAAAAAACTAGGCAATAATCATACAAAATATCATTTTGCTAAATGTCTAAAATAGAGGATCCATCCAAGAATTGATCCTTTTAAAAATGTTGAAAGCTAACACGTTAACAAATTAGCTTCCACAATTTTCATTTACCCAAAGTCCCAGTGTAAGCAATCCTTCTAAAGACAGTCATAAAAAACCATGTCAATTTATTCACTTGTGAAGCAGTAAATCACGAGTTATGCTGTACGGAAAAATTTGTAAACAATCTTATGGCTCAATTTCACATAGATTAAATTTTTAGCATTTGCAGACATAAGTGCATGAGCAGCACCAGGAGTCCATACTTTCTTCCCTTGTTTATGCAATTAAGCAGGAAGTGTTTTACAGTTTTCTTTTAATGCCGATTCAGATTATTTTAGGTACATTCCAGATACACTTTGGATAGTAAAATGATGAACTACCCCTATTATACATCCAAAGCAGCCTGGTAAGTGGTCACTGATCAACTTCATAATTAAGTCCAGGATTCGACACTCAAAGCATTGCAGCAAAACGTGAGGAAAAGAACAATGCGCAGACTTTATTTGGGGGTTCTGTTATGGATACTAGGTTATAGCCCCATGGGTACATGCCTGGGTGTATCTAAGAAAGTATATTTTATAAAGCATCTATTTTTAATCTTTATTTTGACATAATATAACACTGTGAATAACGTAACACATTTTTTTTATAGGATTATGGTTATGCATAAGAAATTTTACACACCGCAGTTAAGTCTTCATTAATGAAGAAAGAAAAATTATACCAGTATTAAAATAAGTAGAAGAATCCTAATCTTGAGGTAATCTAGTAAAATTATACATATATTTTTTTTTTTTCCTACCGTCTTGCTGGCCAAAGTTTGCCATCTTTGACCTTTACTTTGTTGAGATTTAATATGATAAGTAATTTAGGCATGTTATTGTTGGATATATACAAACTTTTTAAAAAATCCAGAGTACATTAAATACATCGGATATAAAGTTGCCTGAAAATGATCAGAACTTCAGAAGTTACCCCAATATAAGTAAAATTTACCCCGATATAAATAAAAGTTACATATGTTTTATTGATAAAGTCACTCTCTTTATAGGACTAAAAATCAAATCCAAGTGAGTGAAAGTAATTATATTAACCTTGTAAACTTATCCCATGGCCTACTTACATTAAAATCATGTCAGGTTTAAAGTTATTCCAAAAAAGGTTAAAAGTTACCCAAATTAGCTAAAAGTTATCCTAAAACTCAAACATGTACAAAAAAATATTATTGTAAATTGGGTGTACACGAAAGTTTTCATCTTTGAAAATTAATGTATACTTGTAATAAAAAGGAAAAAATTAGTCAAACTTTGCTCTCTGATACCATGGATGGAAGATTTTTTTCCCGAACACAGAGTAACAGGAATAGCCCAAATTCATTTTTTGGGATAGGTTATACACAGGTATAAACCCTCTGTGTTGTGCAGGGACAGTAAATCCATTATCTGTGTATAGACACTTTTCTTTTCTTCCCCATTCAAACCTTTAAAAAGAAACTGCCAGTTCGTACTGATCCAGAAAAAAAATAAAATAAAATAAAATAAAATTAAATTAAATTAAATTGCAATGTATACAAGAATGAAGCACAAGTTACCAAGATGTGAATATACATTGGTTCATGCACAGACAGATTGTCTCTGTTTCGTCATTCTTTCCAGATTCTCTGAAACCACTGCAGTCAGATTACGATCCTCAAACACAAGCTCTGGGCCAAGCCTACAGGAAAATAACAACATATTATGTTCAAATTTGTAAATTACACACATTCTCTGGATTACACATAGACAAAGCATGCATGGCATAGACTTTCAGAGTCATAGGTAGATTATCAACGAGAATTCACCGCAGTTGCGATCACTTTCTAAATTAAAAAATTAAGCACAATATAATTTAAATTTAAGGATCCCGCTTACTTTGGGTCAAGAACCAGCTTCTGCACCTCTTTGATTGCAGAACTAGCTGCATATAGCGATATCTTTCCAACCTGAGAGCACAAGAAGATGCAAGTCAGACACCTTCACTGACATAGAGTGGCTTATTTGTCAATTATATAATAGCAAAATTTATTTTCACAACTAAATCAAGAATACTGCAAGAATGGTATACCTCTACCATTTGTAGCTTTGTTGCATGATCATTTGAAAGACAGCGAATTTCTTCTGCCAGTTTCACTGCCTGCTCTAAGCTCTCAGGTGACAAAAAATCGAGACCCAACTGAACCGTGGACTGCAAAGTCATCAAATGAATACAACAAACATCTCACATGTCAGTATAACAACTAAAAAAACATCTTGCAACTTACAAGTTCTTAGAACCAAAGTGTGTTTAAAGGATTTAACTACTTTTAAACACACAAAAGGCACACATTGGAACACATACACCTCTGCTGATTATGATGACTTATTATTGGCTACTCCATAAAATCATTCTGTTACTAAAGCAAAGCAGCAGAAACTGAAAGTTTGAATTTTCATGGACATGGAAGGGGAACATGATAAGCACCTAATGAAATCAAACGCTAAAAAAAATATTTTTTTGCTCTTTCCAAATAAAAAGTCTTGGACATAATGTCTGGTTATTTGCCAAAGAAAACACCTATAGACACGACATAAGCTGCTACAGGCTTAAGCAAAACACAAGTGATAATGCAGACAAATCGGATTACGTTCTAAGTATGAGCAAGTATTCATACTTGGAAGGTATTATTGTCAAAGAAGTCATATTGAGAATAGTAGCTTAAGACAGGACCAGGGTACAAAAATCAACCATAAACATTGATGCAAATACCAGCATGATAAAGGTAGAAACTAGCAATTTATCGAGTCCAAAATAAACAGCAAGAAAGAGAATGAAATAAGGTATTGACATGACCAAAGCATCTCCCACTAAAACCAAAGTATTCAAATGAACTCACCTGAAGATTTCTTACTTGGAATGGACATCCGGCAGGAACAAACACGGCTTGGCCTAAGTGTTGTTCAAATGACCACGGTTCAACCCCTAAAAAATGTTATTAACCATGTTATTTATTTGTAATCCTACCTAGCACACCAAATTATCGAGATTTTGTGAAATCATGCTATATTAATGGTCAGAATATTGCAAAGATATGTTCCACAAGTATAGTTGTATAATGACTAGAGAACACAAATTTGGATTTTGCCCAATCATAGTGGTAAAACAAAACCACCATTACACCAGGCACATAAGTAAAGATTCTCTCATAACAAATGGACATAGGGACAAAAACAACAGACGTGAAATAAACCTTATGAACCAGTGAGCTAGAGAGCATCAGAGAAAAACAAGTAACAAGAAATGTTGTTATGGGTTGCAGCAAGAGAGAGGGGAGGCTATTGTAAGAGCATGAGATTGGCCATAAGTTACTCAATTCAAGACAGCCACATAGGATTTACACCAGAATAGAAATATAGATAGGTCACTTGAATATTAATTGGAACCCTAGGATTTCATAGAAATATAGCAATCTATGAGAAAAATGATGGAGAATACAAGGAGACACAATAAAGGAGATCACAAGTCTACTAAAAAAATTAAGCAGAAACAAATATAGGAGCCACAATCACACATACATCAAGGGCTAAGCTAGGAAGAACTGCATGAACATGATCACAGAAAGAAGCTAGACGGACAGCCTGACACCAGAACTCCAAACCGGGTATCGAAATTTTCTATCAACATCTTGAGCCGACTGGATCTAAATTAAAGATCCAGTCAGCTCAGCCTATCAACACCCTGAGCCGACTGGATCTAACTTTTACGCAAACGAAGAGCAATAACTGATGAGTGATTACAGTATGGGTAGATATTTTCCTTTATGAATGATGTTTTCAGGCCTATGCACATTTCAAAAGCATGAAACTTAACTATAGAAAGAGGCTGGTGGAAGCCATAACATTAGGTATAAAGTCCCACAATGAGACAAATAACAACCTTTTGGATGGGAAACAAAGATACAATGCCATTGACGGCAGTTCCCAATTCTGTCTAGGCTATGGACATACAAAGAAGTCAGAAACAAATTACTCAATTACAGGATTCCTTAATGAATAAGCAGACTTACCGAATTCCTCAATCAACTTTTGTTTATGGTGATCATTCAGATACACTGCTTCACTATAGAGAGGGCTAGTAACCTAAGATTCCAGAAATTGGAAATATTAGGATCAGACTAAAGTATTTATAGCTAGTGATTTCTCAAAAGATCAATGTTTACCGTATTGGACATTCCGAATTCCTCCCAATGTGATCTAAGATACAAAGTTAGCTTTGGAACATCCTCCCGTCGAAAGACATCCCAAATGGCCCCTGGATGTTTGTCACAGGAAATTACTCCTTGTTCCATTTGCTCACGTCCAAGATCGGATTTTTGGCATTCGGTATCTTCCATTTGCTCATCTAAATTTATGTCAAGCTTACCCTTATTTATATTTTCCCTATCATCTCCATCAACGGGTAAACTAACTGGAACTTCTTCATTCAAGTCCCTGCATGGATATCCAGAAAAATTTTGCACCTGAGTTTCCCCACAAGCTTTCTGTATCTTGGCATTGTTTTCTTTAACTTTCATTTCACAAGAATGCACCAAGAGGTATACCTGCAAGATAAATCAAGAAACATTGCCACTAACAAAGTGAAAAACATCTCAAACACAAAAGGTTGAAGGAGAGCGAAAAGATGAGAGAATCAATAATACTCTTGAACTTGAAATATTATTTGTTTATTCTTGATTTACATCATTTTAAATAAGAATCATTGATGACCCATGGAATCAAACTTGTTTATGATCTTATAATGCCATTGTACTCAAATAAGATCATAAAGCACCCTCTCCCCCAACAAAAAAGGTTCTTTTTCTTACCCAACTCACCTGCTAAATGGTAAGCGTGAGTTTAAGACTTCTTAAAACAAGTTAGAAAGCTCAAGAGAAAGAGAATGTAGAGTAAGTTAGGTAGTGTAGCTGTGTAGCAGCAGCAGCTACAATAAATTTTGTCAAATAATCCCAGAGGTAGCTTTAGGTGACAATCTTGTCAAATAGACACATAGTGAAAGATAAATATCCTAATGAGATGTAGACAGTGATAACATACCTTTTTAGAAATTGAATAGACCTTTTTAGATAAATATCCTAATGAGATGTAGACAGTGACTCTACTATGATCAATTTGAATGCTTCCTTATTTCCATAGCCCATAATTTGCTACAACATTAATAGCGTTCTCTCGATTTCTATAAGGCAATCCTTAAATCAGAAAAATTAAATTGACATAAGATTCCACTTCTCCTAGCATCCAATCAATAAGTCCTATAACTCAAAAGATCTATTGTCCCAAATTACTACTGATAAATTTCAACTCCCAAACATTCCCTCCCCCCCAACCCCACCTCCAACTCTTCCCTTGTGTACTTTTACGCCAGTGGGTTGGTGACCATGAAACAAGGCAAGACAATTAAACCATTTTGCAAATAATGAGGCAGTAATTTGGAATATCCTACGGAATAAATTTATTAAAATAGTTATTTATTTTTATCATCATTGACTTTATAAGATATTTAGTCAATTTTCCGATTTATAGTCTTTTTTAGTTGATGGATGTTTAAAGTTTTACATATATATTTGAAATAACTAAATGGAAACAAAAGTAAAATTCCTTTTAGTTTCCTATTTCAAAAGGTTCTACAGATTGACTTAATAATAAAGTGCTCACTTTCACAGGTTATTTATTTGAATATATTTTTATTATTTTTAAAAAAGAATGATATCCAAGCATTTATCAGTTTTAAGAATGGTAACAATTGCTGGTTCAAAATTCCCCTTATTTTTATCAGACAAAATATACAGTAATGCAATTATGATCCCATCTAGATTGTTACCTATTCAACTTTACTAGAAAATAAAATCAGATTGATGAAAACTAGATTAGAAAATTTCTATGGCAAAATATAAAAAGATTGCTGAAACAATACTAAATTATTTATCTGAATGAAAAATTCAAAACTAAAAAACAGAGAATGGTTTATAGGATATCTATAACGGCTTAGGCAGTCCATTTGTCTACAAGGCACGACAAATAAGCCTTTTGTCTCTAAGTAGACATTGGGAAGAGACAACCTGCAACTCAAATGATGAATCTTTCTATCTAGTATTCTTGATCGTACTTCGAGCATCATGACCATGAAAACAGATACATAAATTTGAATTTATTTGCAAGAGAAATATTATTTATGGTGTCTAACTTGATGTTAAGAGAAAACTGGATGCAGTACATATTTCGCAAGTCCTCAGAGTTCTGGTATATTGAGTTTCTAAGAGTTCAAACTATCATATAGTAGGAATTTAGAACTACAGAGAACCATAGAATATTAGGAATCCTGATTTTTCTGGGTTACTATTTATAGTTTTAGACCTATGAATATACACAATCACCCCTCATCCTTAAACTCAGAGAACAAACAGAAAGAAATAAAGTATGAAAGACTCACCATATCACGCATGTTCAAATGAAGATTAGTCACTGAGTCACCTGTACCTAACTCTTCAGATAGTCCATACGAGATGAATATCTTAGGTCCAACATCATTTTGCAGGGAATAATGCGGTAATTTTGCAGCAACATTCAAAAGCCCCCACTTTGAATGGATAAATTCAAGAAATGGCACTTTACTTATAAATTCAGGCCTTTGGTACAAAAAGAACTCTTCAGATGCACTAGGTGATGGCCAGTCTTTCAACTTCAACATTTGCAGGCTACCATTTTCACGAAGAAGCCCCTCTGAGTATCCTTTCATGAATTGCCCAAGTTCTATATCAACCTGTCTTCAAGAGAGGCAAGTATGGTCATGATCCAACCAAGCAATCACAATGCTGATACTTTACAAAAAATAATTTTTAATGATAGATAGAAAAGAGGATCAGGCATACTTCAACCAAGTACGACAGAAAAGTGAAGCAACTACCATGTTGCAGATCAGCTATGAAATAAACCAAAAATACGCAAGGCTTAAGAGAAAAAATGGCCAAGTAGACCAACCCTATTGCATAGCACAGCTCAATAGGAAAATTCTACAGCAAAAAGACTTCTTCTTCTCTTCCAGCTCCAAAGCCCACAATAATAGACACAACTCACAAGATACCAATCCACAAGAACGGAATTCTTACACTAAGCACAGAGGATTCTCAAACACCAGGTTTGTGTTGCAAACCTGGTCCATGCACCTTCAATTCATATTTGTAAGTTGGCAAATTCAATCAGTCAATCACTTTGAAAGTTCACAAGGCAGTATGGAACTAAGAATCAATATCTGTCTTCGGTTGGTAACATTTTTGAGAGCTTTTAGAAGTTTGAACCTCATTAGAGGTTTGAGCAAGAGAGACCTCTGAAAATTTTGTTGGGTTGGAAGATTATTAAATCAGAGAGCTTTCTTCAAAATGCTATTTTTGAAAAGCTCAAGAGAAAGCATTTTGACAGGAGAGGTTTGAAAAACATTTCAAAGAGAAAAGCCTGTCTCTCCTCCTTCAACATAATTTGGTCGTCTTTCTCTGCTACACCATAAACATACCACACCATGATTGAAAACAAAGGACAACATAAAAAGCCAGCAATAAATAATTTTTACACATCAGATTTTAATAAGATCTGAAGAATAAAAAAATCAAATTTGGAAAAAGAAACATGTACATCGTAATAAAATCCACAAAGATGCTCTAGAAAATGAATAGCCATGAATACAAGAAATCTAAATAAGCAACCACAAATTAAAATTAAAAATAATACGAAGAGTTAAAATTGCTCCAAATACCTCAGATTTGATAGCGTGTTGAATTCCATGTAATTGGCCGAAAATAAATTGAGGTGGGAGGGTAATTGGTACTTGATCTGATTAATTGATTTCACTGAGTTTTTTTAAGAAAGATGACACGGCGGTGTGCATAATTTTGAGATGGTAAAGCATAGGATAAGAAAGATTAATTGACCTTTATCTTTTAATCAAGAAGGGGTAATAACAAAAATGGCTGATAGAAGCAACTAGATTCATCAGTCATGTAAGAGTTGTTTACTAAGGGAGGGCTGACAGGTAATGTAGATATGGACTACTAGGCTAGGACCTAGGAGTATGAAAGGTTGGTTGTTCCCCCTTTCTTAGTGTGATTAATGGTCTAATGGGCTAACTGTGTTTATAGTTAAAAAATTGTGACAATTAACATCTCTACTTCTTTTAAATTTTTACAAGTGATAAAAGTAATAGTACTCCCCATGTCTCTAAAAAGATGTTTGCATTTAGAATATTCAATTTAAAGGCGGATACTTTGACCTCGGGTGTTCATTGATACATATAAGGAAAACATATTCATCCGTGTAAAATTTTGTTTGATTCGTCTCGATGTGTAGTTTCAAAATATTAATATTTAGTGATGTTTTATAATACTTAATTCAAGATATTGATGCTCAATTTGTCATGCATTAAAAGCGGGAACATTTTTGAGGGACGAAGGTAGTACTGGGAGTAATATTTACGCTATTAAATTAATTTGATGATTAATCATCCCTAGTAAAATCCATTATAATGTATTAGTAAAAGTTGTGATTATTCAATTATAAACTTCAAATGAATTCAACCTATAAAACTATAATAATAGCAAACAAAATACCCAGCAATATGTTGTATCGATGTACTTATTGGTTAGACAATCTAGTAGCTAGCAACTATTACCAGACACTTTATACAAACAGCTAATACAATAGCTAGTCAAACCAGCTTATTGCCAAATAGGGCTAATATGTTTTTCATACACCAACAATACAACCACGCTATTGCAGAAACACAACAAAAACATATGGTTTTAACCTTAATTTCACTTAAGTCTAATAAGCTATGATATTACCTCCGTGACTCGTCCCTATATAGTTGACATACTTTGACCAGCACAAAGTTTTAAACATATTATTGTGTGATGAATGGTAGTGGGTATTTTTTTTCTACTACAGCTAGTGGGTAGTGGAGTATAATTTTACTATAGCTATTAGTTTATTATAATTAGTGGATCACAGGTAAAAAGCAATGTGAGAGAAATTAAAAAGAAAAAAAAAAAAAAAAAAAAAGAAAACTTGTGGATCCACTTCAATTATAGAAAGAAAGAGAAGTATGTCAAATATAGAAAGTTGTCTGTATAAGAAAAGTGTATCAACTAAATAGGGACAGTATATAAGTTAGGACCACAAGTTAATAACATACGGATGGTATAGGTTGGCTCCATACTTGGTACATTATCTTCACTTATTTCAGGTCGAGTAATTCTAATAAGATAAGCACTACCCAGTTCAAATTCAGATAAAATAAGATAAGTGAAATTTGGGTGAAGATAACACTACCTAAAGTAACAAATTGACTTGTCAAACTAACAAATGTTGCATTGCCTTTGGTTATTATTTGAGAAAAGTTTGCAAATGAAGTCATGTTTCAAATGGCTAATCAAATATTTTACTAACACCAGTTAAATATGAAAAGCATACCTCAGACCAGTCTAAGCAATCAACAGCTTTCACCATTTTACTAGCATCATTCATCCTCTCATCAGTAGATTCACAAATTTCCCTCCATATAACCATAGGGTCCCAGCTTGTGCTTGATGAACCATCACAGACGTGCTTAACAAGGACAGGTTCACCCTTCACCCAATGTTTTTGGAAGTTTACAACGCCATCAAGTTTAATGTCTTGAGCAGATGGACAATATAAGAAATTGTCATCACTCTCTTTACGTGATGCACATTCAAGGAACCTAGAGCTAAGTGATCTAGAGTCTGAACAGTTACTAATGCCTTTAACCTTGCAACCACTAACCATTTCTTCTAGATTTTTTACCAGTTTAGCAACCCAATTCATCTTGAAAATTCGCCGAAGAGTTAGATAAGGGCAACCACAACCACCATGTTCCCTCGGAAGGCAAGGTACACTACCATCTATACTTGCTCTCCAACCAGGAAACTTCACGCTTAGCAAAAGCTTATGGTTTGGTGAAGCTTGATGCTCTTTCAGAACCTCTCCCAATTGATTTTTCTCAGAGCTATAATTGTCCACTACATCATCTTTTGCAACAGCCAGAGTTTCACTACGAAGATCTTGACAGCATCTGAGGCAAAGATCATACGAGCAAACTGAGCAGTGCCGGTGGTAATCTACAATTGGAACTCTGCAGCAATCACTAACAGAAAACATTTTCAATTAATCATATGTACCAACATACCTTTTCAAAAAAGGCATAACCTAATTAACAGAAATTATATACCCACAAGGCCACAACATACTTAGAAAAGGTTGGACAGCATATATAAGGTAGTTTCTTTAAAAAATGTTAGATCATCAATTTTCACAAATCAAACCGAGTAGTATATAAGATATCATGAGTACCAGCACATCTGCTCATCTGCATTCAATTTCGTCCTCTCTAGATCCACTTCGGCTCCTGAAGAACACATCCATGTAAGAATAAACAGCATATACTTCAGCAACAATATTATACGAAATGTGTGACACAAAAATATGAAACAATAAACTTCTTACCATGTAGCTTCTTCTGTAATTCCACTTCAGCACACTGTTGCTGGTGGATCTCCTTAACCACAGGAAGCACCGACGATAGCAAGCAATAGAGGTATTGTAGCTTGTCCAGCACAGGTATCTCCCTTATTTTTGCCTGCAACAACAGAAAAAAGGTAATCTTTGCAATTAGATAAACTAGAATTGTTATAACAACCAAAGATTACTTGCAAATAAACTAGAAATGTTACAATAAAAGCTGTCATTTTACCTTAATCAAATTATCCACCCTGGAGCACAACTTACAATTACACATGCCGCGACATGCAGGGCAAACTCTTTGGATCTCTTCCAAAGAAATGTTTGCATACCTAACACAAGTGTGGATAGTCAATAGTCATGCACCACACCATCAAGGACTAGAAACATCTAAGAGAGTAAACACATTAATCTCACCATGTACTAATGCAGCTTTCACAATATCCTTTTCTATCACATTTATGGCACCAAATAACTGAAACTTTGTTACTCCTTCGACACTGATGGCAAGTAAGTCCACCAGTGTCATTTGTAGAATCTGTGCTAGCATCAGAATGAACCTAGAGAGCAATATGGAATTCATTATTGCAAACACAGTGATGAGTGAATGTATGGCCTGGAAAATCAAGAATTTTAGAAGTACAAGCATAGTTTCTCATGATTGATAAAATTGCAGCATGATTTACAGAAATCACAGGCATTTTTACAGATACGTGTTAGTCCAACTTTAACTTCACTAAGCACAAGAGTCAAATATTCAGCACTTGCCACTCGGACATTGGTATGACACTTAAGACACTTCATTATGGGCAAAATTTTCATAAATTGGCCATGTCTGGCACTTATAGCCAAGTATGAATAACATAGGCCACCAATAGGTTATTTCTTAGGAAAAAAATCAATAGATCTACAAGACTACTAGAGCGAATAAAAAGAAAAGATGTTCTACCTCACTAGTAACCATAGCACCATCATCAATGCTCTTCTGTGACATGTTCCTTGAGGATTCTATGCCATAAGGAGTGTAAGACCTTCGACTTTGATCATGATAATCCAAGTCTGTTTGCATATCATCCTCTCCATTGGTTGGCATCCGATCCTTGGGATTGTTTGGTAAACCTGAAACAGGAAAATCCTGCACTTGTAGTGACATATCCTTGTTGTTATCGTCACTTCTACTCTCCATATAAATAGGACTTCCAGTTTCACCCATAGATTTCCTCTTTGCTTTCTTTAAACTGGCTCGTAACGCAGAATTCGCTGCTCTCTTCTTCGCCTGAATGTAGTGCTTCTCACATACGGTTTTATCCGGCATAGACATAGCAGTACACCTCCATTGTTTACCATCCGACCTCTTACAACGCAAATCATCGGGAATACCCACTTGATCATCCATTCTAACACTTCATATATCCTCTAACAACTCATAAACTTAAAACATCTATCACAACCTACACGAAACCATCCAACATCATAACCATCCAAGGATTCGAAACAAATTTGAACAATTAATTGAGCTTGCCAGTGCATAAATTAACTAAAATGAATTCCAAATAATTTCGAAATTTAATTTGAGCTTCACAATGCATAAAATTACCAGAACGAAATTCAGATACTTCCAAAGTAGTTCCGAAAATTACTTCTGAATTTCTAATTAAAGCTTGCCAATGTTCAAAATAACCAAACATTAATTAAAAAGAATTATGAAAGCTTATATGAGCTTGCCAATGAATGAATTAATCAAAATAAATTCGAAATAACTCTGAACTTGTTTCTTGAGCTTGCTAATTTAAGAAATAACCAAATTAAATTCGAAACAATTCTGTAATTTAATTTGAGCTTGCCAATGTATAAATTAACCAAGATTAATTCGATCAAATTCTGAAACTTTATAGTATGAAATTGCTGAATGCTGGTGTATAATTAATCAAAACAATGTAAAAATTAACCAAAACATATCCGAAAGAGTTAAGTAATGAAAGAATTCAAGACGAAGAATATTTACCTAGTGAATGATTGAGTTCAATTTCTGGAAAACTTTGAATATGCCCCCAATTTCGTTCCTCTGAATTTGATATATTGATCCTCAGCTCTTCAATTTGGGGAAAATAATAGGAAGAGTAAGGGCGCCCTTTTGGCTTCTGTTCTGAATCTTCTACTCGGCAAAATTGTACAGTATTACGACTCTACGACTAATTATTTCTATTGGTTTTTTTTTTTTTTTTGAGGCAAACTATTGGGGTTTATTAACCGCAATAGTTTTACCTTTTTAAGGACGAGTAATGGACGATTTTTTGAGCGATTATAGAACAGGACAATTTTTTGAGCGATTATAGAACAGGACAATTTTTTGAGCGATTGAGCGTATGTAGAATAGTAAAAGTGTTAAAAATTGACTCGATTTTTCATGTTTCAATTCGTATGGACAAATAATATAGTACTCCCTCCGTTTTTAAATATATGCGCGAAGTTTTACGCGAAATTGGAGAAAGTAATAAAATATAGAGGTGGTGGGGTTGGTGGAAGAATAAAAAATTGTAAAAAGCAAAAGTAGTTGAGAGAATTGAAGGAAAAAGAATATGAAACTAATAAAATATGATTTATATTGGGTCCACTAGTTGAGAGGAATGAATTAAATATTATAAAAACTTTCTAAATAAGGAAATAGAGTAAGTATTTAAAAATGGAGGGAGTATGACTGAACTTTTAAATAAATTTGATACAACCTTACCAAACACGACCCATGTACCATAATTGACACCTCTAAGTGTGTCTCAGTAAAAACGCTAACAACAGTATATAGTTATGAATTTAGAATCCTAGCACTTTCCCTTTTTCTCTTTTTGCACTCATGTTTTCTCTATTAAATGAAAGTTACTAAAAGCCATGGTATGGAGCAATTGCTCCACATCCCTAGTAGGCACCTAGAACGCAACAAGCTAAGTTGGCCAAATTCAAACACTTTTTTTATTATAGAAATCAATACATTCATACATGTCAACTAATTCCAAAGTTTCCTTCTTTGTAAATTTACTTAATAGGAAATAGATTATGAGTTTGTTTAATTTCAAACCAGTATCTAGGCTTTTATATGGTTGACATACACATTAAAAGTAAAAGCATGAGAAGTTGTTTGGTTGACAAAATTGTAGGAAGTTGCACTTGTAAAGCACTCATATGAACTAAGAAATTCTACTTCCCATAAAATGAAAGAAGTTGTTTACAAGATAATTGCAACTTCCCATGGGACGTTGAACTTACCACCAACCAAACAACTTGAAACAATTCCTGTGAATTCCTAGACAAATTAAGATGTTAGGAAATAACACTTCCCATGTTCAACCAAACAATCACTTATACAAATGTGAAATGTATGGACCAAATCTAATCTAGTATATATATAAATAAAGTAGACATTTTTTTAAAGCATTCGGAGCGCCACGTAAGAAAATATATTATTTCGATTAATAAGAAGAAAGATTTGTATTTTATTTTTGAATTAAAAAATTATGTCGCAACCTAGATAAAAGTAACGAATTAGATTTGATATATCTAAAATTTTAATGCCACGTAGATTATAATCCACGAATTAAATTATTTTAATGAAAAAAAATAAAGTAAAAATATAGGAAAAGATATATTTATTAATTCAATACTACGAGTATAAGAAATTCAAAAAAAAATATACTAAGAAATAAATAATAAACGATTATAATAAAGTTTGATACCTATCATTATAAGATAAATTTTGATAGTATTTATGATAAGAAATACAAATTGTTCGTTAATTATAATTAAATTAAAATTTATGATACCTACCATTATAAATTGACACATTATACGACAAAAACAAAATTTCGTATCAATAAAAAACCCCATCAAGCGAATTTTTTGTTAATTTTTGGTCATCAATGGCCGGGTAATTTTTAGCTTAATTTTTAAAATCCTATGTGTAAATTAGTATTTCTAATTATTACTTACATTGTATTAATTTGGGATACTCGACGATTATATGTTTATGTTTTATTTACTAAATGTTTTTTTACATGCAGATCTGACACATCATATGACACAAATAAAATTTCGTATGAATACAAAACCCTATCAAGCGAATTTTGTGTTAGTAATTTTGTGTTAGTTTTAGGTCATCAATGTCCGGGTAATTTTTAAAATCTTATGTTTAAAGTTATATTTGTAATTATTAGTTACATTGTATTTATTTAGGATACTTAACGATTATTTGTTTATGTAATGGCATACGATTAGATGTTGTAACTTAACATATGGATGGCTTTGGTTATTTTTGGAGATGATGAAAATATTCCAATGCATAGATTTGATTTTATATCGCAACAATTTTTCATTTATTGGTAAATATATTGATTTATTTTATATAAAAGTAAAGATTTAATTTATATCAATTTCAGTTTGGGTAACATAATTTATCCATTGATGTATTAGGTTGGTTGTTGGCAAGGTTGGTGATTTTATCGAAATAAAAGATATGGTAAAACAATGAACAATGATTTACGATTTAAATTATTAAAAATTTATCATTTCACATTAAAGATTTTATATAACGGAAAAAATATCATATTTACAATTTATTTATATTTAATAAATTCATTATAAATTATAGTAAAAAAATTAAATGTTGAACTTTTGTAATTTTATCTGAAATTATTAAATATAATAAATCAAATAATTAAAAATGTTAGATGAAAAAACCGTGCATTACTTGATGGCTCTTTGATGATTACCCATTACTCTTACATAAGACTTAATTATCTTTAGAACATATTGATCTATCACGCTTCAGGCGTGCTATAGGTTCATTAGCAATTGATATTGTCCTTATGGGGCATCAATTTTAATTGGAGCATTTACAACTAGTATATGATCAATGACATTTATTTATATTCATCTGGATGGTATCATTTCAAAATAAATAATTAACATGTGGCCACTTCTATTAGATAAATCGTTGATATTTAAGTTAATGCATGTATCAAACTGACCATCAATATATTTTATTATCTATGTGTAAGGATTACTTACAATCTCCCCCTAATCCTTGCATATGGGGGTATAGAATCAATCCAACAACCTTTAAAATCCCTACACCTTTTAAGCCATAAATTCTATTGGCAATGTCATGTATCAAGTAACGTGTTCCTTTTAGCAAAAACATGCTTAGATAAAATTATACTTATAGACACTTAATCATGTTCCTCTTGCCCAATTACATTCATCTTAAAAAAAACGAAACCTCTTATATTTATAGGCATAATAAAACGTTGATCATGTAAAGTTTCTCTCAATGTTATGTTTGCATTTTATAAACTCATAAACATTATTTCTTGGTCCAATAGTTGATATGTAATTATGTTTGCAATTCTAATTGAGCTTTTCAATGAATTGTAATCATGAAAACATCATGCAAACATGCTTTCTTTCAATCACATGAACTCTCATTCACTTATGGAGTGAGTAAATCTAGTAATTTATGTATCTCCAATACTCACTTAGAGTTCAATATCTAGAATACATTCAAAACCTTTTGTATATTTTTTCACATGGAATTGTGTCTATAGAATTGCATTAGTATCGCGGATGATATTAAGCAATATACTTTATTAGAAACTAATAGAAATTTCTAGGTCATATACGTATCTTTGTATCATTTTTTAGGATTTTTAAACCTTTATAAATTTAAGGAATTTCAGCTCCATATATATATGTAAGTATTACATGCTCAATTTATTCATCATTCCTATAATCCAACTTCATGTATATAGGTATATAAACAAATTCAATCATACACAAATTAATATTTCTAAGTGTTAAAGACCAAAATTTGGAATTCAAGTCCTAAAATTGAAAAGGAGTATACATTTATAGAGTATTAGCTTGCGAGTTAATAATATTACACTACTTCCTTTACCATTTCATAGAAATCATATGTATATCATATCATAATCATTACTATCATCACAAACTGTAATTCATTAATCAAATCCTTTCTGATATGATTAACAAAATAATGGATTTGTCCTCAAGTTTGTTTTTAAAGTAATATTCAACATTGCATGTAAAGCCAAAGGGGTTGTATACTCGTATTATCGTAATTTAATTTGAGGTCAACTAGAAAAAAATCCACATAGTCAATTATATTAAAAATATGACATCATGCATATATTAGCAATCTCACTCGTTACAGAAATTAACAGAAATGTATATATAATGACACATGCATAATTACAACCATCATGTATAATAGATGTCAAGTTACTAAAAAAAAAAAAATAGATCTAGAGACATAATTTTATGACATATTTTGTTTATCATTATATTTCAATTAGATAATTTAAAGCAATGCTCACATAATATCAATATGTGATATCATACATAAATAATTGACAAATACATAGTAAAAAGTATGATTTGTCATGCATGTAAGGTAATTATCAAAGAGCTATCAAGTATTGGCGCAGATCCTCTTATGATCAGAGTGGAAAAACCATGCAGGCTTCTATTCTTACGGAATTTCTACCTAACGGTAGTTAGCTTGTATCTATGAATCAAATCTAAGATACCTGTCTAGTCCAGTGAGTAGAGACTCTCATATGAAAAAGAAAACACCCTCTTTTAGCTTAATGTGATAAAAATCAGTCTAAAATGAGATATCTATCTTTCTTTTCAAAGTTTGTAGGATGTTTGAACATGGAATTGCACAAATGTGTTGATGAATTACGATGTTTAATACGTGAGATGGCAAAAGAAGATGAAGAAGAGAGAATTTCGTTTATTAGTAATAAAACTAAGATTGATGCTATGGTTGTAGATGATGATCTTCTAAGAAAGAAAAAAACTAGAAAGAGGAAAAAGATTCCAAATTCGGATATTGATAAAACAACTCTTAGTGAAGAAAGCTTATTAGTGGGCAGTGATGATGCCAAATGTGAATCCTTGGTGTCAATTCCTTGACCAAAACAGACTAAAATAAAGTAGGCATTTTTGGAGATCATTCGGAGCGCCACGTAAGAAAATGTATTATTTCGACCAATAAGAAGAATGATTTGTATTTTATTTTTGAATTAACAAATTATGTCGCCACCTAGATAAAAATAACGAATTAAATTTGATATATCTATATAAAGTAGGCATTTTTGGAGAGCATTCGGAACGCCACGTAAGAAATATACTTATTTCGACCAATAAGAAGAAAGATTTGTATTTTGTTTTTTTGAATTAAAAAATTATGTCGCCACCTAAATAAAAGTAACGAATTAAATTTGATATATCTAAAATTTTAATGCCACGTAGATTATAATCCACGAATTAAATTATTTTAATGAAAAAAAATAAAGTAAAAATATATGAAAAAATAAATTTATTAATTCAATACTACAAGTATAAGAAATCCAAAAAAAAATATACTAAGAAATATTTAAATGATAAACATCTATAATAAAGTTTCATACCTATCATTATAAGATAAATTTTGATAGTATTTATGATAGGAAATACAAATTATTCGTTAATTATAATTAAATTAAAATTTGTGATACCTACCATTATAAATTGACACATCATACGACACAAACAAAATTTCGTATCAATAAAAAAACCCCATCAAGTGAATTTTGTGTTAGTACTTTTGTGTTAATTTTTGGTCATCAATGGCCGGGTAATTTATAGCTTAATTTTTAAAATTCTATGTTTAAATTAGTATTTCTAATTATTACTTACATTGTATTAATTTGGGATACTCAACGATTGTATGTTTATGTTTTATTTACTAAATAATGTTTATTTACATGCAGATCTAACACATCATACGACAAAAATAAAATTTCGTATGGATACAAAACCCCATCAAGAGAATTTTGTGTTAGTAATTTTGTGTTAGTTTTAGGTCATCAATGTCTTGGTAATTTTTAAAATCTTATTTTTAAAGTTATATTTGTAATTATTAGTTACAATGTATTTATTTAGGATACTTAACGATTATTTGTTTATGTAATGGCATACGATTAGATGTTGTATACTTAATATATGGATGACTTTGGTTATTTTTGGAGACGATGAAAAAATTTCAATGCATAGATTTGATTTTATATCGCAACAATTTTTAATTTATTGGTAAATATATTGATTTATTTTATGTAAATGTAAAGATTTAATTTATATCAATAATGAATAATGATTTAGGATTTAAATTATTAAAAATTTATCATTTCACATTAAAGATTTTATATAACGGAAAAAATATCATATTTACAATTTATTATATATAATAAATTCATTATAAATTATAGTAAAAAAAAATATTATACTTTTGTAATTTTGTCTGAAATTATTAAATACAATAAATCAAATAATTAAAAATCTTAGATGAAAAAACCGTGCATCGCACGGGCTTCCATCTAGTACTCTTATATAGTGAGACCAGCCAAACAACATAAAACAATTCGTGTGAATTCTTGAACAAATTAAGATGTATGTTAGGAAATAACACTTCATATGTTCAACCAAACAACCACTTATACCGAGTATTAAAATGTGTGAACTAAGTACTCTTAGAGAATAAGTAAAATTTAGGCTAATTATTATAGACTCAAAGATAAACAAATGAAAGATTGCATAAAGCAAAAAGAATTTTGTTTAAAATAAGACAATAGAATAGAAAAAGTCAATAATTGATCTAAACATATATAAATTATAACTAGTAAAGTTATATAAATAAAGCTATAAAGTTCAACAAAGATGATGGCATAGTGCAATTAAAACTATAAACAACTGAAAGTTAAGACTTGCAAGTTGCAAGTCTTGCAACCTAATTTAAATAACAAAACATTAAACTCATAAATAAGCTCCCATTTCTCTTTGTAGTGACTTATAGACAAAGCCACACACAACTGAAACAACTTATTGACGTTATTGCGCTTAAACAATTCAAGCACGAGGCATACAACGTAATTTCCTTCATTGTTTTGTAACGGAATAAAAGCCAACAATTTATTTAATTTATCTTAACAACCACCTAAATAATATGAGTTTGATTAGTTTCCCAATTTGAGAAAAAGAAACTTATGATTTATGATTTTTTTGTTGTAAGTGCATGTTTTGGCTTAATTTTTTGTAGGAAGATGAAGTACATCTTAGATGAAATTATTAGGTTCAACGTAGTGGGTCTGCTGCGAGTGCTACCGACTTTTAACCACAAGCTTGATTCACTATTTTTATTATACACCTTAGTAATACGAAAATAGGTTATAGTGTTACATAAGTATACTCAAAGTAGTATCATAAAGTATGGTTATAAATTACACATCACATCACTATAATGCGACATATCTCTTAGTTTTGCTCAAATAGAAAATACCTTTTGCACATTACCTGTTCGTTATTCATGTTGTTTCGAAGAATAATAAATTACTAGTAAATAAAACCTTCCTTAAATATTTGTCGTAAGTGCATGATTTGGAGGATTTACATCTTATAAGAGAATATGAGGTTCAACTTAGTGATTCTATTAAGTGCTACCAACTTTTTAGCTTGAGTTTGATTCTCATAAAGTTCTAGATCCACAACTTCTATTATACACCTTGGCATATTTGAAGATAGATTACGATATAACATATGTATACTCACAATCATATCTTATATACTATGATTATAACTCACATCACATCATTATTGGCCAACTTAAACCTTTCGCATCATTACCAATTAGTAGTTGAATGCGTATAGTTCATGTTGTTTTGAAGAATAATAAAACCCTTCCTTATACTTATATACACCAATACACCTCTAAATTATAAGAAATTTCCAAAGTTACCCTCACAATTAGGTAACTAGCTCACTCCTAAAGATCAATTCACCATCTTTCAAAAAAAAAAAAAAAAAGATCAATTCACCAACCCTTGATTACAATTTTTTTTTAAAAAGTAAAGTGATATTTCTTATGTAGGGTCCTCAACCCCTAGGAGCATTAGTATTTATGTGGAACTAGACGTCTGATAAGATGGAGCATCGTACCTTACTTTCATAGTCATAAGCACTAAACAACTAAGCATAAACCCACCACTAACTCACCATTATCAAATCATAAAGCAAGACAAAGCCTAATCTGTAATTTAAAAAGGAACAAGCATAACCATTTCTCCTCTTTCTATCCCAAGCTTCTCTCCTCTCTTTGCAAAACTAGCTACACCACCATCATCTAGTGTCCGAAATTGGGTTCTCAAGCCGTATTACTTCTTGTAAGATGTCTCGAACATTCATGGCTTTGAGGGAGCATGTTCTCACCAGAAAGAAGAGCCCAAAGGTTGCTGATGAAGCAATGTTTAGTAATGGGATAGGCACCATAATGCCTATATACGCCGATGAGGTTGAACATAATAGGCAGCCTTGGAATGGTTTATTGGTTTTTTATACCATTGTTCGCATCCCCTTTTCTATCCTTTCTTGCTTCTCTAAACGGCATGGAAATACAGCTGATAGAACGTGGGTTACAGGAGATACGATGAGAACATCAGAAATCGATCATCTTATGGTAAGTGACAGCATGCGCTATGCAATCTTGATGTAGTTTCCACCTTTTGTAGTAGTGAAGCTTGCTAGAGTTATTTCCTAGTCCAAGATAAAGCATACCAGCACATGTAATAACTTACCAGTATATGCACATATTTCAGCAGATAGTCATGAAAATAAGAAAATTTTCTGAAGCCTCTGTTAGCTTTTTTGTTGCAGAATTTAATTCTTGCAGTAATATAAATACAAACTCACTAGAGTTCCTATGACGGTTGTCTTTACACAAATAGTATTCCCCCCATTCCATATTATCTGATCACTCAACAAACTTCTATCATACTGTATTATACGCCACTTAAGATACCACACAAACTTAAACGGCAGTGAATATGGAACAGAGCGAGCAATAAAGTGTTACAAATTATGTCCTCCGTATCAAGAAAATAACGCGTTGTTCCATCCCAATTTGGAATCAGAATGACTACAGGTACAGTGCACAGAAAATCCTTCATATATTCAATTAAATGAGTTCAAAATTTAAGCAAACTGTCAAGAACGAACCCAATCATCAGCACTTATCAGGCAAAGTATTGGCAGATATGATTTATGCTGTTTTCCCCTGGACCCTGTGAGGATGACAGTTTAACTAAGACATGATTCCATGACCTGGAGCATCCACTACTCTTCTTTTAGATAAACATTAAAAAGTGCTTTAAGCTAAAGCTAAGATTCCTTAACTTAGAAACACAACATAAATTAGAGTAAGCATATGAATCATACCTCACTAGTGAACCGTGTAACCAGGATGTCCATGCCTTCATTAACAGATTCTCCTAATTTCTTATATGTGAAGATAAGCAAGAAATATCTACACTTCAATGTGCAAATATCTACAAACCCCTCGTTATAGCGTGTTCTTCGTTGCTTTGAGAAGAAAATATCTGATCAGTAAACATGTTAGAAAAAGAGTATTTTAAACAAGCAGAGCTGCAAAGCACAACAATTTGATGTGACAGATTGAACATATCATTGCTTTTGAGATACAAAAGAATATATGGAGAGGATGCTTCAGGTAAACTAGTGAACAGAAATCAATTGAGGGTTTAGCATTATGCATAAACTCATTTCCAAATTAATGTAACAAAATTATTCGTTTGCAAATGTTTTTAAGAGCAACCAGAGATGAGCATGTTATTTAAAAATTAGATAGATGCAACTTTGTATGTACATCTATACAGGAATAAAGACCTTGTCTCCTCCCATCCTCCGTTAAATGATAAAACAAAAGCACATAGAAACAATATCCACTTGTGATAGGTTCTGATATCCATTATAACAATATTCACTTGTGATAGGCACCTTAATTTAGAGTATTTCAAGCGATATTGAGTGTTCACAAGATTGAAAACAAGTCTCCCCTTTTCAAAACACCTTCTGTTGTTATACTTACAATGTAAATCCATAGAACAGGTCTAGCTTCCTGGTGATTTTAGGATAAGAAATCTCAGGAGTCAGCAGCCCTCCAACTGTGACCATAGAAGACTTCAACATGACAGAAAACGTAATTATGTACATCAAAATGCCATGCTGTAAGCTCCATAGAAGCTGTCTGCACATATATCTGATAAAATGTTATCTTAGCAAGCCTGTCCTGAAATAATCATCCTTTACAGTTACAGCCATTCACAGGTCACAAGGATAAGGGCTAATCTAACAGATAAGGCGAGCATGACAAAAACGTCCTAAAGCTCAAAGATGTAAATGATAGGGCAAAGTTCTAAACCAATCATTGCCCCTATGGAGGACAGTCCTCTAGTCCAGGCAATCATTGAGCTTTGGCTGTGTTGCCATAGTATTATTATCAGTGTTTCATCTCTTCACTTTTCCACCGTAAAATTAAACGATAAAAAGTTCAGATGGTGGGGAGAGATGTGTAGTTTCAACATCCATTTTTTTTCCCCTTTTACACCTTTTTATTTCTAGGCTGCTAGCCAATATAATTACTTTATTTATCCTGATTAACTCAAGCAACACAGATAAAATTCATAGCAACATAATAAATAGATGAAAAAAAAAACATTTCTCCAGACTACCATCATTCAGATATCCTCACTCCAGCGAGGAGCAAAGCTAACTCTTACAGCATTTTCCAATTACAGGTATGCGCTCTACACGCCAAAACAAGGTAGCCAGTGGAAAATCCATAATTTACTCCATTGATGCAGTTGAAATTATTTTCAATGAAGGTTAACTTTCTGCCATATTATACAGTGGGGTTCAAACTTCAAACAGTCTAGAATTGCACCAAGCATATCCTAAAGCCTTTTGAAAAAAGCAAATAAGTTAAAAATTAAAAGCAAACTCAAGGTACAATAGCACTAAGCAAACTGAGGTTCCATCGAAAAGCACTGAGACATTGCAAGGCAACTTTCAAAGCTTTGATTCTTCTACCTTTCTCTTTAAAGGGTGATTTTACTAATGTTAAACCTGATACCCTTCTTTACTTCAAATCATAAGAAACATGTCCGAAAACGACAGAATTAATAAAGTAAATCATCAAGTATCAGTGGCAACCAAAAGAGCCTTAAGTATGATCATTTCTACTTCTTTCTTGCCTTCCTTTTGAAGAACGGTATTGAAAGGGGATAGGGATACCTAAACATCCACTCTTCAGTCTCCACCAAAAAGAGGCAAGAAATAAACAAGTGGAACCTTTATGAGAAACACCTGATTGATCTGTACTTACCTTGAAATATCATAAGGAAATTCCACAATGATGCCATATCTTAACTGAGAAGCCATAACAATATTATAAATTTAAAGTTAATAACATACACATTATTAATGCAGACTTCCAAAATAATAAACATACAAGAAAATATGCAATTGCAACTGCTTGTTTATAAGACAACAAATGAAAACAGCTATTATACAAGGTCAGAAGTTGTCCTAGCATAGTGAACATTTGGTTATAATAATAAAATAAATAAATAAAATACACATTTAGTTACAAGGAGTGGCATATTAACTTATAAGTGTCGTACCTTAAAACAACTAAACATAAACTACAATAGCAGGAACAACTCTGATTTCTGAATAGCAGCATGTTCAGAATCGGCAGATTGATTGTTAAAAATTGCAAAATGTACTCCCTCCATGGCTCTGAGATTGCCCCAGCCCCTGTATGATCACCAATTTACTCTCACATACACTACTTTTAGTCCAATTAATTTTCTGTTACAAATTCTACCCAACCAAAACTTAAAAAACAACCGTACTCCAATGGGGCAATCTTAGAGTGACAGATGGAGTATAGCCCTATAATATAGGTTCAAAAGATCCATATTACTCAGGACTGTCGGGAGTTCCTCAATCTTGTAGCCCACAGAACAGGGGGTTACATCATATTCTTTGGAAGAGGACAACAGATACCCTAAAAAGATACACCGTAAATGGCAAGAGTTCCAGCTGCTATAACATGGTCCTTAGTTTTTCCCCTACGCAATTCCAAACATCTAATAGATAGTGAAAGCACGCATTAGTTCTCAAGAGTGAGAAAATAGAAAAACGTATATTTTCACAGATATGTGGACACACACACACTACACAATTCTCAGCATCTACCAGATAGTGAAAACCTGTATTAGTTCTCAAGAGTATAAAAAAAGAGAAACATATATGTTCGTAGACAAGTGGACACAAATCACTCACAAATGCAGAAACACAAACACAGAGCCATATATTCTAAGAGATAGTGAAAAAGGAAATGCCCACTGCCAAAATCAGCTTTGTGATTGAAATAAAAATCCTCTCCGAAGAACATATATATGTGTATCTTAAATTTATTGGACTGTAATATGGGAGAGAGTAGGAGTAACTATAAGCGACTTGAGCTACCAGTAATTAGGGATCACCCTCTACAAGACTCCAAGGTCAAAGCACAATGGAATATGGCATGATTAAGAAAGTAAGCTATATTGAAAACAAACATACCTTTATACTATGTGCATCTGAAGCTCATCCAATTAATATAGAAGCAAAAAATTTCTTGGACATAAATAAAAACCCACTCCAGAACAGATACAACCACCAGGAGAAAACCAATTTATGAATCCAGATCAAGGAGCAGGAGCATATAGGTTTCAGCTAAAGAAACAATCAGCCACACGCTCGGTTATCTGGAGTGCATATATAACAATACCACCTTCCAGCTCTAGCTATGCAAATCTTCAAAAGCTAATAATGCATTTAGCCAGTTATCAATCTTCCAATTTCACAACTCAAAGCACTAGTTCCTAGTATACATACATTAAAAAAGCAATGAAGACATCTCAAAAAGGAATGCACAATCAATAAGAGCAAAGTGCTAGGGTTGAGCTACAGCTCGATGAGGCTTGGGAGCACAAGAATTTCCACGTTGATAGAAGATTTGAAAAAGAGAAACTGCTTCTGATGCCCTTATTCCACCAGTACATTTAAAACCACTTATTCCAGCATTATTTGATTGTGAGCAGCTGGTTGCATGCAGTGAAAGAATTGAACCACATCCTCCAAACTTTTCATTTCTACATCCGTAATACACTTCCTTTATTCCAAGATATGAAAAGGCACTTGCACACATTATGCATGGCTCACATGTTACATAGAGGACACACTCTGATATTCTTTTAGCAACTTCAGATTGCGACATACCATCTCTTTGCCATTTCTGTAGAAGGCTATTGACAGCTTCTCTTTATGCCTTGTAGCATCTCGTGTCTCATTAGTACGATTACTGCCTGCTGCAATGACCTTCCTATTCTCGACAATTACACAACCAACAGGTACTTCAAGTCTGCGAAGAGCAACTTTGGCTTCCTGTATTGCCAGCTCCATAAATGCATCAGAGTTGATAGGATCTTCAGGCTCAACCAAAGCCATCATCCGTGGGTCATGTAAGATCCAGTTCTGATTATTACAGCTCCAAGATGACAGCGGATAAAGCAAGGAGCTCTTTGGTCAAGAAGGGAAATCCAATTACAGGAACTTGATTCCTCATGAAAAGGAGACAAGGCGTTA